TTAATGTTTACTGCCAAAGTTAATTATTTAAACTAAATTGCCGAACTGAAGCAGCTGTTTTTCTTTTTAAATAAGAATGCTAAACTTATTGTTGAGATATTTTTTACTGGTCTGCCGATTAATCGGATCTATTAATATTTCTCTACCGTTCTCTAATGTTAGTAAATAGGTCCATCAAGTATAATCCTATACTAAAATGCATATATATTAATGTCAAATTGATGAAGGTAACGTAATGTAAGAAAATAACTTCTAAGTAAGTTCCATACCTAGTCAAGGGACAAAACACATAATAGAATAATAATATACAGTTTTAAATGAGTTATATAAATATAGTTACATTCAGTTAGTGGATTTATGGCGCATTATCTCCCACAGTTTCGTAATCATAGCTACACCCTACAATGCAGTTGCCACAAATATTAGATTTAGGTTGTTACATCTATAACGTCTCCTTTGACACATACAGACATTATCAATTTCGCCATTGAAGCAAATTGTCCAGCTTAATTTAATATTAATGGAGCACCGTTGAGCTCCTAGTTCAACATTTGTTCCTGTCATTACACCTACAATTTTTTTCATACAATCTGCTCAGTTCAGTTCTTCACCTAAACCAACAACATTTTTTTTTGGCATTTACTTCATAGTATGAAAACTGCTTTACTGTTTTACTTAAATGACTTTCAGAAAGTATTGTAGCAATTATTTATCAGATACAGGCTTATTCGATAAATTACTCACAGAATCATTTCACAACAGTTACTTTCACCTGTCCGTTACATTTAGATTGGAACTAAATTACCATCATTCCTAGAAAAGAGCATTTTCTAATAAGACTACTGTAAGACGAGTCACGAATCCCTCTGTAAACTATCACGACTTGTTCTGGGATACAATAGTTGTGTAGTTATTCCATTAAGCTTATCCGGGGGTGAAAGTATCACAACTGATTGCCCATTGTAGTATAGAAGACAGGACGCCGGCCCGACCGTTCTGGATTATGATTTCACTGAGGGCCTTTCATTCGTCTCGAGTGACACATTGATTGTCGTGTGAACGTTACCTACAGACGTACGATCATTTGTTATTCGATTCTGTTGGCGTTAAAGATCTCAGGAATTAGAAACCTGTTTGCATAAAAGCGATTTTCAATTAATAATCGTGTTTCCGACGGTTACCTATGTTAACAGTTTTCACACAACATGACTAGCGATGTTAAGAAGGGGTAGCGATATTTGATTTAGCGTAAAGCAAAAACGGGGCATTAAATAATATTCTATATAATAATACATATAAATATACTCTTTATCGCAGTCTGCGATTTCTTACAGACGAGTAGGATGGACTACTAAACAGTGTAGTAGTAGGTACTTGGTCATTTAGATGCAACAAATACAAAATAATAATCAAAGAGATACATTTTATATTAATATCCTAATAATACACACATACATACATTACATAGTGCGAGCGTTCTGGCTAAATCCATTTAAAAGGCTTCCAGTCAGTCAGTATTTTATTTAGAAATTTTATTACTGGTAGGAAATGTGTTGACAATAAAAACGTTGTTATTAAGTTGTGAGATAATACATTTAACTGCCTCAGTGGTGCAGTGGTAGCGTATGTGACTGCTATTCCGAGGTCTCGGGTTCGATTCCCGGGTCGGACTAATTGTTAGTATGATCTGCTAATATTTGTTTCCGAGTTTGGGTGTTTTCTATGTAAAATATGTATCTATGTATTTCCAAAAAAGTATAAAAGTATCCTATCAGTCAATCTAGCTTGTATAGTACAAGCTCTGCTTAGTTTGAAACAAGATAGCGTTGAGTGTCCGAAAATATTATATTATTTGATTGGTAAACTAATGGAGCGAGTATATTGCAAGTATTTTTCGAAGTATAACAATGTTCGGTTACTAATTACATCAACTAGATCTTGAGAGTTAACATTTCAGAAGTATTAGTTCAGATTCGAGCTTTTGTGGTGCCGAAAAAGCGCGCGCAATGAGCTGACCTTGTATACATGTGCACCACGTCGCATGTAAGTTATTTATCAGTGCTCACAAGAGGGTCAATAAATAATTAATCCACTGAGTTGACGGCACTTTTACAACGCCCACTATCCTATTAACTCAATGAGAAACCTTGCTCGCTAAGTTTCTAACTCATCTTTAAATTTCATCGCAATTGCTTTAACCTGACAATTAGTTAAATTATTCTTCTCATGTTATGTGCCTTGATATTATGTAGGTATATTTACTCGTCACGGATGCGACTAAAAACTCAGTGATCTGAAACAATAGATAGGTATATGTTACAGTTAAATTGTCACTGATAATGGATGTACACAATTACCTTTATCTCTGAACTTATTAATATTGAGTAATGTTAATTCGTCATCGATCGACAAATTGTTGAGTTCACGGTTCTTAGTTTTATACCTCAATTGCTTATCATGTATTATGTATTAATAAACACAATGAGTCTAGGGAGTGGTGATTAATCGCGAAACGTACAAAACTTTGATAAAGGCATTTGGTACATATTGTCATGTTTCACTTTGGTTTTAATGAACACTATATTTGATAACCGTTAATGGAATCTTATCGATTTAGTAGTTTAAGCTTACGTCGCGCTCGCAACACACACCTTTTATTAACTGCCGTTTAACATAAATCAATTTTAAGATTATTAAGCAAACTAAAATTTAATCATTCAATGATAATTTATTTATTTATAGATCTCTAATTATTGTTATGTCAGAATCTTGCAGTCGTAAGGCTAGTCAGAGGTAAAATCGATATCCTGGTGAAGCCTGCTTATTACTAAGTAATGGTTTTGTTTTATGTCCGCTAAAATAGTAAAATTTGTTTTAATTTAGTAATAAGTTCATATGATGCCTACACATTCTTTGAATAATAACACGAATTATTAACCTTGTATTTCAAGGTCACCTAAAGACAGAATTTTACGAAACTAAATATTTCTTTATATATTTCGATGACTAAGAAGACACGGAAGTTAAACCTTACATAAACTAGAAAACTTAAAGGTCACTAAAACTAACAGAAACATTTACGGTCAGATGTCTTGACTATAATAAAGCATTGGTCACTATATTGCTATAATAGACACATCTTTGTTTATCTTTTATGTTGAAATAAAAAAGTGCTGTTAGTAGCACAAACACTAGAAACGAACAAATGTGACTACGAACATTGACCTGACTAGACTAGAGTGAATATGGCTATATTTCGTTTATCCCGTTTATTGCACAGTTACATTCGGATTAGTATTAAATTTATAATAGTAAGAATTATATAAAATTTTATACAGCACTTTGGCACGGGTATATTAAATTTTAAATTTTTATAGAGTTTTAATGATGTAATATTAGTTTACATAATTTAATTCACGCAGAGTCGGTCATTTTACTATTTTTGATTCATAATCTCTAGATGGGGCCTGAATAATGAGAAATAATCGTGGGTTACCTAGTTACTAGCCTGTTGCAAAGCATAAAAACTAGTTGACCAGTAAATTCGTCACTGGGCGTAGCCAATGCGATAACAATTGATATTAAAGATAATTATTAAGTATACATTTATAATATTTTTGTTTGTAGTAGTTGGAGTAAAACGAGAGTTTAAAAAACACATTAGAATTTGTTCTCATTTTCATACAACAGTTTCTGAATATATTTAATTAAATTTTAAATTCTTTCAGATGTTGATGTTGCTGTTTTATTGTATTTTACTTTGTTCGGTATTTTTTTCGAGGATGCCGACTGGTTATAAGCAGTTTCAATCGTGAAATAATAGTTGCATAATATGATACGATGTTGAAATAAATATCTATGTAGGTTCATTACTTTAAAGCTTTTGCTTGCTTGCCTGCGGCCTAGCGTTGATATCGATTTTGGAAAACAATTTATTTCAGGAAAGGAAGAAGCATATCTGCTATTCCAGACTATAATCTATTTTAGCCTCTCCATTTAGCCGTTTTGGTGCGATTAAGTACATCCATACATCCATCCGAACTTTCGAATTTATTATTATCAAAATTATTGAATATTTCGGACATCTGACACACAACGCCACCTAGTCTTAGACTAAGCAGAGCTTTTTTTTTTCTTTTTTTTAAAAAGACAACGCCCGCATTAGGAATAAATATTCCTGTGTCGCGGGGACTTCACAAACATACATGAAACGGACACAAAGAACACCCAGACTCAGAACAACAATTTGTGGATCACACAAAGTGTTGTCCCATGTGGGGTTTGAACCCACAACACTCGGCGTAGTAGGAAGCGGCGTGGCGACCACTTAAACCACTACGCCATCCGTGCAGTCAAGTGCTTGTACTATGAAAGCTAGATTGACTGATAGAATACTTATATACTTTTTTTTTGTAAATACATATATATTGTATATAGTAGTAAGGTAATATTTTGTACTACTTTTGCTAAGTAGATTAAATACCATTCTTAACTTTTGGCTTATATACTCCCACAGTTAAGTAATCTCTCCTAGAGTAGGGCGCCTGAGGCCTGAGTTGGTGTGGTTTTTAGTAATAACACGACATACTGCCCCTGACTCCTGCGTCCCCAAGGAGCCGGAGATCTGAAGGGATTTGCCACCCCGTAAACAAAAAAAAGTAAATCCCTTCGGTAGTTTAAATGCAAAAAATATCAAACACCTAACGCAACGGTCCTATATTGATAATTGTAAGTTCGGTATATCCGTGTTAAAAGCATTTTTTGTCTTTACCAATACTGTTTACTATTTTTATCTTCAAGTTATTCTTTTAATACTGATCTTATCGAAAAGTATTAACATCAAAATTAATAAATGTTAAAAAAATAATTAACATTTCTCAGTTATTAAAGTCACAAAATATTCATAAAAAATATAAGTATGTATTGACTTAAAAACATTTATGTACGAATCGAAAAAAAATGTGGACGACCACTTAAATGAGTATTTATTTTTCTACTAGGTGAATCTGTGTCCGAGCGAGCTGAGAGCGAAGCTCGTGTAGTGAACGATCAACGATGCATCGAAGTTCGAATCGCGCGCACTGCCGGCGGACTCGGTCTGAGCATAGCTGGTGGACGAGGCTCGACGCCCTACATCGGTAACGATGATGGCATATTTATATCGAGAGTCACCCAAAGTGGGCCCGCTTACATGGCTGGTCTTAGGGTAAGTTGCTTCCAATGCACCAACACGATAATATATTCAAGAGCCCCTCATTATGTTCTGTCCTAAATGGCACTTAAGTGGTTCTGACAAAGGTGTTAGTTCTATTAAATTACTGCAGGTGTACCATACCATCTCGTAAGTATTTATAAATATTAACGGTATGAAGTCACCAATTATAATTATCTTTTTTGATGAACAAGATCTAAAGTCTTCCTAGTTAACGTATTTGCATTCTGATGATTTCCGTGCCATGATGAATGTTGAAGATATTGTTCGTTTTCAATAATTTATTTCAAAGTTAGGATTTTAATTGTAATATATATTCTAGATACTGTAATATAGATAATAATGACACGTTATCACCATATAATAGTCAACATTGTGTTCTAAAGTCTAATTAATCGCTCACAAACTAGCTTCAACATATTCACCAGAAAATAAATTATGGTTCACGTAGCTTTCTCTAACACTTATAAAACTACTTTCTTTGCTATATAATATATTGGCTAGCTGTAAAACTTAAAAGATTGAAATATATAAAACTGTATACACTTCTTCAGGTTGGCGACAAGGTACTCTCCGTGAACGGTACATCTGTGATAGATGTGGATCATTATTATGCAGTGGAAGTACTTAAAGCAAGCGGACCCACGCTCACACTTGTCGTGACCAGAGATTCACCCAGTTCAACCAGGTTTCGTCTTGTTCTTTATCTAATTATTCCATCGAACAATAGAGCTTGCTTAAATGTAAAACCATTGCAACAAACCACGTACAATAAGAATAAACCTAAGTTACTTTCAATCTGCATAACGACGTCATGCTGTTCGTTCTCATCACAACATATAGTACATGTTTTGTTTGACGGGTTAATAACGATTTCTACGAAAATACTTCCACATGTAGCTTATACTTACCTTTTATCAAAATATGATTTTAGAACTCACAGTCGAGCACCGAGTGGAGCAAGCCATCATTCCGTGTCAAGTAACACCGATACCGTCTCCACTTTGGAAAATGGACAGGTAAGTACACTATAGCCAAGAACGAGGTTACTTGTTTACTCGCCTTGAAATATGCAAATTATTTTATAGACAACATTGACGCTATTTTCCTTTTGAAGCGGCCTTAGAATATTATATATACGTGTTACAGGTTTTAACTGGCCGAGGTTTACCGACTAAACCGCTGATCATTAGTAACCAGTATGCGGAGGAGTTTGAACCTGAATACAAGGATATGAGGCCAACTACGCCAATGAATCACAACCAAGCCGTGCCTACGGTGGTTACAAATCTCGAAACCTATAGTCCGTCGCCTACAGGACAAGCTCCTTCGGATAGTTATCAACGACTGCAAGCATCACCACCACCGCTAGCTACATCACCTTATATACCACCCGGTAAGTTCAAATCTCTGAAACTTTGGTGTAGGAATCTCCACGAAATAGATAATAATTACGTACATACATAAGTCTCAGTTATACAAATCTATTACTATTTCTTGTTCAAAAATCTTTGTTCATTATTTGCTAGTTATTGTAAGAGTCTAAACTAGATGAAAAAGTACGCTTACGTAACTGAAAAAAAAACAACATTAACATTTTAAAGGCATGATCTAATTTATCACGGGAATCCCTTTAAATGCCGAGTATACCTATTTAAAAAAGTTTTGCCAGACGAAAACATCAATTAATTGTTTTTATTTCGTCTATTTAGAGGTTATCGTACATATTCGTCCTAGGACATAAAAACAACACATAAAACAGGTGCAGTTTTATTATGGTTGTGTAGCAGAGAACCTGTAAATTGTAAATTGTTATCTGGCTACCTCCCTCTTATTAATTAGTTCCCACTTATAGATTAACTAGCTGACCCGCGCAACTTCGTCTGCGTCTCTCAATAGTAATAAATTTTCTCCGTTTTTGAAACATTCTTCATTGGTGCTCCGCTCCTATTGGTCTTAGCGTGATGATATATAGCCTATAGCCTTCCTCGATAAATGGGCTATCTAACACTGAAAGAATTTTTCAAATCGGACCAGTAGTTCCTGAGATTAGCGCGTTCAAACAAACAAACAAACTCTTCAGCTTTATAATATTAGTATAGATAACCAAATTTTAAATGAAAACTTGTTTTCCTCGTTGAACTGATATTAAAATTGTTTTTATTACTTTTCTAGTATATCAACAAAAAGTGCTAGTCCATACAACACTGATACGGGACGGAGCAGGTCTCGGTTTCAGTATAGCGGGCGGTAAGGGTTCGCCTCCATACCGGGATGATAGCGATGCTATATACATCTCCCGGATTTCACCGCAAGGCGCCGCCGCCAAGGACGGCAAGATGCAAGTCGGTGATAAAGTAGTCTCAGTAAGTATTTCTTATTGAGCTAAGTTTACGAGTAATTACTAAAGAAGTTCAAGTACTATTGAACTGACAATTTATTTGTTCATTAAAGCGATAAAGCAGAATAAGAAGCAAAGTGAAAAGAGAGTACCGTCAGTAATAAATGTTCAAAGTTTTTATATACATTTGGTTAAGTATACATACAATTTGTTATATACTGTGTGAGATATCTCCTCATTGAGGGTTTTGAGTACTTTTCAAACAAGGAGTAGGATTTTCTTTGTATAGCAGCATATTGTACTCCGTGTTTTATTTGAGTTGTTGTAATACGTGAAGACAGCACGTTGCAAGTTTATATATAAATAAATTGAAATACCTAATATACATTTATTTCCTCAGATAAACGGCGTAGATATGGAAAGCGCTCCTCACGAAGCAGCTGTATCCCTTCTTACCGGTCACGAGAGATTTGTAAGACTGGTTCTACAAAGAACCATCACTACAGAGCAGGGTATGTAAATTTTCGTCACTGTAATAGCCAGGCTTGAAAAATAGCTTTCGCATCTACCAGCTTCTTTAAAATATAATATACTCGCCTTTAGCTATATAAAACCATAGCAAAGGCTAATATTTTTATAAAAATGCAATTTTAATCAATTCAAACTTGTTAAAATTTTTACTGTTCTCAAAACATAAGTAAACAACACAATAGCCAGATTAGATACAGAATTTGTTAAATCACTCCAAGTTTGTTTTAATAATTAAGTTTTAACTTCGTTTTTAAGGTCATTTGTTACTTACACTGTTTACCTTTTTCTTGTTTATGAGTATATAATAAAAATAAAATAAATAGCGCTTAGCTGCACTTAGTTAATTAAATATATTTTTCTAACATAGGAGAGTTACTGCCGCGCAAGTCGACGTCAGATGAAGTGAGGGAACACAAGACAAGCCTGCAGAATGTGAACATCGCACCGACGCCAAAACCCGCCACAAACCACATAAGCACACCTGTAGTTGACAACCACACTAACACTCACACAGCACCTCGTGTGTCCTCACACGTCGCACCGCCTGCACACTCACAACCAATCGTACAGCCTGCCGTACAACCTGTGGTACAACCACAGAAACAAACAACTTTTGCACCCACAACTACCGTCCCACCGCAACCTGCACCGCGTAAACTGAGTCAAACTAACGGACAGGTGAGGCGTGGTTATTTTCTATACTATTTGCATTTTTTTTATAGAGATGAGTACGTTGAGTTGTTTTTTATTGATAGGAAGAGTTATCTCTGGTATAGTTATTTTGTTCCAGCTTCAAAGACTTTTATTAAAATATAACAACCTTCATGAACAAACGCACCAGTTCCATCAACTATTAGGATGGTGAGATAGTAAATACATTGACATTTTAATTTTGTCCGCCCAAAATTCCGCCACAGCCACGGCATTGTCCGTTGGTTTAATGGCCACTGCAGTCCAGGTGGCAGGTTTTCTGAAACATTTCGAAGTAAAATCTTACATTGAGCTGTTAATATATTTCCATTATATCTAATACTTCAAATACCACATCACATAGTCAGTTAATCTATAGCATTTTATCTATAACAATTGATCTCTTTACATTGTGAATATTACAAAACTACTATTATCTTACTTTGCAAAAAGTTGTAACTTATCCTATTTTTAATTTTTAAGTTCCAATTATAATATTGTTTATTTTGCGGTAAGAATGTACTCAGAAATAGTTATAGACAATACCTACATGTACAAATAACAATCGCTTTTAGTTTCACACAAACCGAATACCAAAAAAATCAAAATTCTATTTCACTCCAGGCCAAAACCCCAACTAACAGTGCGAGCACGCCACTAACACCAAGTGCCGACAAAATGCACGGATCTACTGAAGAAGTCTTCGATGACATTCAGGTGAGATAGTTTTTAATAACGTAAGCATATAATGTTTTAGAATAGAATAGAAAGTGCGCAGGTGATGGGTATTGGTTTAACACGTTCACATCAGAGCTTGTACGTCATATATGGCTTTACCACCGTTTTGTCCGACGCCTTAGCTCACCTCACCATATAGATTGGTTGCAAGTTAGCGATGGCATTTAGTCCTAATGGTTATGAAAAATAGTGAATCCACTGCATTCAAAATATAGAGCTCATATTTCGATATGCTAGGATAAAGCTATCGTTCATAATCGTTTTTACAAGGCTAAATGCGATCTCTCTACTTTGCGGTATCATTTTGTGCTTCTTGTTGTAATATTAGAATCTTTTCAGGAACTTAGAGGCTGTATCTAATCAAAACTGGCACAATTTAATAACAAGCCTTATTTTTGTTAAATCATTTAAACGAACTCAAGTACATGCTAACGTATCATTGCATTTATTTTAAAACCGTTATATTACCTTTATATTATATATCAGTATTTAGTTTTGTATCACTCCTTCTATCAATTGAAACTTTTAATTCTTTCGTCATTTTCTTTGCTGAATTATTATTTTTTATGCTTGCTTTATATTTTATAATTACACTGTCGCTTTCACCATTTACAACGGAACATACCTACATCTGTCAATAACTTTGTGACATACTTTTTTTTTAATGTAAACTAAGTAGAATGTATTCTAATTCCCTAATCCTAATTCCCTAATTCTAATTCCCAAGGTTGAGTTAAATGTTTAGTACAAAAGACAACCAAAAGAGTTTTAATTTATTCATTCATGAATTTTCAGAGCGTTACTGCGATTGAGAAAATTAATTCCCCGAGAAACTCAAATTTAAAATTACAGTGGGATGATCTTATTAATTTTCCAATTATTGCATTTCCTTTATAAACTTTATACTCTTAACTGTGTGTGCATGAGCCTTATCTTTTAACTCGGCGCAGCTCATTATAATTTTTAGATTTATTAAGAAATAATAGTGCTTAAAGAATTCTCATAAATATTCAAAATCACTCGATTGCTTATTTCGTGACTCTTAATTAGATTTCCAATATTTAAGTTTAGGTTTAATAAACGGGTAGCTCTGAAAATGATACGCTACCATAACCGACAGCGGTCTCTAGGTTACTTTACTAATGCATAGTCTGATGCGATGTGAACGTGTTAAACGCGCAGCCTTCGCGGCCGATCACGACCGAGGAGTTCCAAGCGATGATCCCTGCGCACTTCCTGGGCGGGGCGCGCGCACGCACGCCGAGCGAGCCGCCGCCGAGCGGCGTGCGCGTCACCGTGGAGCGCGCCGCGCCCGCCGTCGTGCTGCCGCCGCCGCCCGCCGCGCTCGGCCGCGTCACCGAGACTATCACCAAGTCCACCTTCACCGAGACGACGGTCACTCGCATCACTGACAATCAACTCGTCGCACCGCTCATCATCGAAGTAAGGCGCCCGAAGAGCGTTCACGCTTCCACTCATAGGGGATCGGTTTCGCAACGCTTTAGACACGAAGGGGTGTTGCGGGTGAACAGATCGATTTCATATCTATCTTTTGCTTTAAAATAAAAAAGTTCTTACCGAATTTCACATATCTGAAACTGCTCAAGGGCCATCCTAGAATTAGACTACATGGGCAAATTATATGTATGTTCTGGCCGTCTCTTCGATTACGTTTGGTGGTAAATAGATATAATCCCTCTTTTATAAATTATGCTTGTCACCCCAAAATTAAATATTGCGAAATCGAAACTCCATAGAAAAGTAATAGCCACTTTCCACTACTCCAATTCTTGAAATTAAAATAAAAAAAACTTATTCCGGCAAAAAAAGGTAAATGTATGTTTATTAAAATAATATAAATTGAATGACACTTCTCTTAGTAGAATACTACTTAGCCTTCATACCTTCTGCAATGAAGAAAGATTATGGCAATACTATTATAGAAATTTTGACTCAGTATTTCTTCTAACTCTGCTTCTGCTAGGAGGAACCGATAGTCCTGTCCATTGCCTGATGCGTCTGTGGGACGGAAGAGTACTCGTTCCCTTCCTTCCCATTTTTGCGTCTTCTTAATACGTCATCACCTCGCGAAATGAGGCTGCGCAATCCGTCGCACCAGCACAGTGAAAGTTTTCTCGCACTGATAACCGTCGCAGGGTTGAGGCACTGCTGCTGCCACCCTTATCCTTGTGAAAACCTTTGCAGTTTCAGTGTCGGCACACATACTTTAGTTACCGGTGCTTACATACACACCACCTCTCTAACCATAACGAATCTTTGATATACAAAGGATATTATTTATTGTAACCCCAAAGTAGTGTTAACCGCTTTGTCATACTAAGTATGACAAAGCGGTTAACACTATATTTAAAATCACACACTTATTTAATTAATTATGCTGCTAATCTAGTTTTCGTAGCTCATATCTCTACCTAGCTTTCTCCGGTTATAGCTGATTAGGTCTGGTGTCTAGTCAATGTAACCTTTTGTAAGCTATTTTATTTCTCTTAGCGCCAAACAACCACTGTGTCCATACGTGTCCGAGCAAAGCAGCTATCAGCCCCTCGCCTGTTTTTCACTGTTCACCGCAAAACATTATTCATGTCTCCCAGCAGCATCTCCCTCAAAGAAAAAATGCCTACTTACTTCTCTTACCCAGGGTGCACCGCAAGATAGTGCACTTCCTTCCTCACTCCACTTACTCACACATCACAATCGTCACGAGCAGCTTTCTGGTGTGCCTTTTCGTTAGAGATTTTTGAATAAAGTAATCTCTAACGAAAAGCAAATAAAAGTTTACTTTATTCATTAACAAATTTTAGATCCTTACTATTTTTTCTTCCTACTATTTTAGTAACGATTGTATTTTCGTAGAGTTTCTACTATTGCAGAAGGTAATGAAAAAATTATATTATAATCTATTAATATATACCAAATAGGTGTAACAATAGGTACAGGCAGGTTTATTATTACAATATTTTTAATGTAAAATCGTTCGAAGTAAGTACTTTGAATCCTAATTGATACAGATGATTAGAATTAACAGAATTTCATAAAGTATCTAAATCTTAACAACTGTTTTATTAATTTCGGGAAAACAGAGCTCTATTCTCGAGGTTAATCTCATGGTTATATGATTTAGAACTTTAGCACTTGAATTTTTTTATAAGAGGGCTGCCATTTATGTATTCGGAATAACATTGTGAAACAAACACATAGCATTTATTATAATTTAATTGCTTTTAAAAATATTCGCCGTGATGATCGATGCACTTTTGCATACTTTGGAACCAATTTTCGTAGCACTTTTTCCATTCTGATTGCGGTATCTCCAAAACGTGCCTTTTGAACGCATCAACAGCCACTCCACTCTTCAACGTGGATTCACGGATTACTCTTCACGGTTGGGAATAAATAGAAGTCGTTGAGGGCCAAGTCAGGGCTGTACGGCAGATGACCCGTTAATTCGATCTTTTGATCGTCCAAGTACTGAATTGTTTCGGCCGATGTGTGGCAGCTAGCATTGTCATGATGAAGAAGGATTCTACGTTACCGGTTATTTTTTCTTATTTATTCAAAGACTTCTGGCAAACAAATGTTCGTGTACCATTCAGAATTAATCGTTTTACGATCCACTAGTGGCATTGTAGCCACATGTCCATTTTTACCAAAAAAAAAAACAAGCGACCATTTGCTTAAAAGTGCTTTTTGAACGAATGACTTTTGTTGTTTTCGGCTCATCTTGGAACACCAAACAAAGTTGTTTAGTTTCAGGATCATAAGCATATATCCAAGATTCATCACCTGTATAGATATTATAGACAACTTTTGACGCACCCTGATTGTACTTTTGTAACATTTTTTAATCGACTCTAGCCCGTTTTTGTCAATTCTCAAGTTGTGCGGAATCCAATGTGAACAATTTTTTTTACATCTAAATGTTCATGTAATATTTTATATATACTCATACTTATTCCCAGAGACGCCTCTATCTCACGATATGTGACGTGATGATTTTGCATAATTAGTTCACGCACATCATCAATATTTTGAGGTACAACAACCGATTTAGGGTGACCTTCTTTAAATTCGTCTGTGAGCACAGACCGCCTTCGATTACACTCACTAAACTAGCGATACACAGTTGTTTTTCATGGTGCTTCGTCTCCATAACTCGAACACACAACATAAACAAATGACAGCTACATGAAACAAATTGTATTCTTCAGCCAAAGAGTTTCATTTTTAAATGTTTTTTTTTCAATTGAACCAGTTGTAGTTAGTTATAATTACCTTTTTAATATTGTTCTGTAACTGGCTTGTACCGAATACATAAATAGCAGCCCTCGTATAACCTTTCATGTTTTACATTATTCGTTGCCAATGTTGAATCTGACATACAAGTAAATATAATGTTTATTTGTTTCAGGATGTCACGTTACTTAAAGAAGGAGGATCTCTCGGCTTTAGCATCATCGGCGGCACTGATCACTCTTGCGTACCGTTCGGTGGCAAGGAACCAGGAATCTTCATATCACATGTAAGTTTTTCTTGTTACACAATTAAGGCCGTACTTGTTTAGGTAAATGTTGTACAAGAAAATGATAGAAAGCCACTGTTCTGATATCTTTATGTTACCAATACTAGATAACTAATAGAATCACAATATCCCGATATAAATTATCGAAACGTTGGAGGAGCAGCTATTAAAACAAATAAAAATTTTAAAATTCATTTTTGAATTTTCAACTTTTTTATTTTCAGAATTTTCTCTTTACTTGTGCTGTAAGACCTTGCTTTTAACCAAAATTGACAATTCTAGGTCAACCGGAAGTACCCTATAGGTTTTAGGTCGAAAACCTATATGGTAGTGCCCGTTAACCTAGAATCAAGAAATTTCTCAAAAAGAAACGCCTTAGCACAAATAAGGAATAATTCCAAAAAATAAAAAAAAGTTGAAAATTGAGATAAATTTTGGTACTTACAAATTTTCGTGAAAATCTGGGTAGGTACGGAATCCTCGGCGCAAGAGTTCGACTCGTACCTGACCGTTTTTTTTTTACTATAATTTATACATTCTGAACGCTTGTCTTGAAACAAACAGGTAGTGCCAGGTGGTGTCGCTGCGAGATCAGGCAAGCTTCGTATGGGTGACCGTCTCATAAAAGTAAACGGCACAGAGCTTACCGGTGCCACTCATCGTGACGCCGTACAGCTGCTGTTGCAACCTGGCCCTACGCTCATGCTCTCCGTGCGACATGATCCATTACCTCAGGGTTTCCAGGTTTGTGAGGTCATTTTATTATAAAACTCCATGACAATCAAATGAGGTCTTCAACAGTTTTTTTTTGACGAAGTTATATTCAGTACATGTAGAAACATTTATAAAAAGGTTTTTATAAATTTGTCCACTTTGGCATCACTTTTAATATGGCATACTTACGTAACTTTGATTAAACATATGGCAAGTGAATAATGGTGGTTTATACAACCACCATCATTCACCTTCATTCAAAAATATAGGTAAATTTAAAACTACAACCGTGACTTTCCATTTCTGAATATTTTCTCTAAAAGAAGTCAGTCTTCCTTTACTCTGCATTTTTAGAAGTGTGTCCAGCCTCACTGAACATTAGTCTATTCATTAAATTTCTATAAACAACTATTGCTCTGTCCCTAGTCAATTATTAAGTTGTGTTAACCGTCACCATAATTTAGGTACTTATATTAAGATTATTAACTGTGTAATTAGTAATATATAATGCTTTTTAATTTGACAAATTCAGTTCCAAACGTTGGGTATGTCTTGCAATGAATATTGGTAATCTGTGTGAACACATACACATACGTAAGCGCGCAATGTTTTGCATGTTATGCAAGTAACCGGGTTTTGTGGATTTTGATAGTGAGAAGTGGAAAGCATAATGTGGATTTATGAGTAGAACGATTTGAGTATGTCGCTTACAGTAGTCATTTGGCGGTATGTGATATAAAATGTATTGCATAACGCTTATAATGCACATGATTGTTCGAAATATGTTGTCACATAAAATACTGACAAAAGCAATATCTCTCTTAGCTGCGAACTCTGTCGCTTGTTAACTGGTGCCCGTCTTCTATTTATGCGCTTGAGTACATCTAACATAACAGTCTGACTTATTTGGTCGTTATAAAACGCTAAACGTTGTTTTGTTCCACACGTGCTCACTACACGGCCACCGCCACACACGTTCAGGGTCTCATTCAAGTTGAGATTGTTGACGCAACTGTAAGTGTGAACGTCGTTCGGCGATCTCGAACTTATGTGTGTTACTTTACAAAATATATATATGTCAGTCTAACCCCTCATCCAATCAGTCCGTGTGTCCAGCTATCGTCGTGTTCTGAATGGTTATTGCGTACAAACCCTTTTCTGTTGAGTAGAGAACGCGTTTTATGATCTTACATCGAGATAGATTTAGTTGCTTATTTATAGCTCTTACTACTGTTTTGCCCTAACACACAAAACTTACATCCTTCAAATACAAATTTGTATGTGTCTAGCTAAGTATTATTTTATCAAGCATTTTGTTGTATTGTATAGATAGTGTGAAAGCTTATGTTACCTTCGAATGCATGGGATTGGCTTTGCATGCTAAATTTTGATGTGGATGTCGTTGTTTTAGATAGAGGTATCCGCTGCAAACCGGTAAACTTGAACTTTTCTTAATATCTTCGTGCCAAATAAAGTTATATTGAATGGTTTTTAATCTAAAATAATTTTATATATATTTCAGGAATTAACCATAGTCAAACAAGATGGCGAAAAATTGGGAATGCATATAAAAGGAGGTTTGAATGGTCAGCGGGGCAACCCGAACGATCCAAACGACGAGGGTGTGTTTATATCAAAGATAAACAGTGGTGGTGCTGCCAGAAGAGACGGTAGACTGAAGGTTAGCAGTAATCTCAGCGAATATGACTTTAATATCAAACTTTAAAGTATTATTGGAGTTTACTCCTTTGAGATTCGATTTTGACATAAGGCGCCCGGTATGATAAATATATCAAGAGTAAAATTTTGTGATCGCAACGTGCGGATCTTTCACATGTGTGTGTATAACTTGTATACTTGTGAGCAGTCGAATCGTTCTTAACGAGTAAACTCCAGTCGTGCGTCGGAGCTGACACACGACTGGAGTTAAAAAGAAGTAAACAAAAAAGTAAATCAGAACTGTGTTACAATTAATATAACACAAACACAGTTATCAGGTGAACTATTACTAATATCTATTGTGAATATGGTTTTAATTAAACTCCCATTGCACGCCACTTCGAAAATGTGGCGTGCAATAGGAGAAGCCTATGTTCAGCATTGGACTGCGATAGGCTGATGGTGATGATGAAGATTAATATTACGTATCTATCGTCGCCGTTGTTATAAATACATATAATAGTTCGTGAAAATACCGTTGTAATTATGTTCATTATGTAACGACATATTTTACGGTACGGTATATAATTATGTATGAATACAATCTTTTTAAGTAGCCTAACAAGTAACGCAAAATATATAATCTGTGTGGTGCATAGGTTGGCATGCGGCTGTTAGAAGTGAACGGCGTGTCGCTGCTGGGCGCGACGCACAACGAAGCCGTGAACGCGCTGCGCTCCGCCACCCACGCGCCGCTGCACCTCGTCGTGTGCCACGGGTACACGCGCCCAGACAAATACAACACTGTGAGTCCATTCACTAGACCCTTATGTAAAAATAAAAACTTTTCGATGGCAACTCATCTCTCTAAGAAACGATAAGGTTTAAAGTGATGTTTACTTACAAAAATACACCAATATATTTGCACGAGTCTCGTTCGCTTTAATTCAATATAGCCGTGTTAGAACCGAGCAAATCATACCATGCTTGTAATCACAGATCACGCTGTCGAATAACACTGTTATGATTTTAAATTAAATATAAAAAAGACGACGGTAATTGTAGTACGAGCACGTTTATTATTAGTATAATAGACGGCTTACGCCTTTGCTCGCTTATGAAGAACACGACCACAATGCGAATGTTTGCACAGACCGGTAGCGAAAGCGGGACGGCGGATACTGGCGGCTCTCTGTCGCACTCAACGTCAAGCCTGGATAGAGATGAACCGCTGCATCAACAACAGGTTTGTTTAACGTTCTATTTCCTTGTATATTTTACTTTACACTTATATTGCATGAGTTTTTATGTTGTTGTTTTCAGAAAAATCTGCATTTATGCAATTTACAGTAACTATTATACAGTAAAAAAAGCCTAAATTGTTTTTATTAACTTTTTGTTTATGAAAGCCTGTCGGTTTTTATTTTCATTTTATTTTTATTTTTTTACACCAGGAGCAACAATTTCAACAGGATCTAGTTGAGTTTGAACACGAGAAACAAGTCGCTGAAATGAGGGAAAAATCTACTCCTGAAAAGGTAATGAAATGTCGACATTTATTTTAGGTACTTGCCTACATCTACAGTAGCAAAAAGTTCACTCCACAATGCGTTTCAAAAAACACGCAAAACCAATCTTTAAAGCAAATTGTTGCCTACGTTGTTGTACTAATTCACTTCAGGCCTGAGGGAAATAAAACATTTTAAAAAGATGTTAAAATAGATAAATCTAAACATATATATTTATTTAAGATGATTGAAAAGTCTAGCTCGAGGTAGTTTTCAATTAGATCACTAGAAATTTCACGGAAAAAATATAAGTAGCTTTAAGCCACATAGCTCTAGTCGTAAACAACTAAAACATTTGAAACTTTATATTTTACAGGTACTGGACATAGTCCACGCAGTAGAAAGCATGGCTCTTGAGCCTGCACCACCAATATCGCCCGAACTGCAGCACAAAACGACTACTGTCGTTATGTCCAAACACACGCTTCAACCTCAGGTTAGAAACTCACCACAATAATATTATATACCTTCAATTAAATCATCCTTTGTCTTACTCGAATGCTAATCCCAATTTTGTCCTTAAGTAATATATTACGAAATATAGCAATGAACTATCATTCGTGTAAAATTAAGAGTATTTACCTCTACAAAAAGTAAATTAGAAGTAAGTAAAGCTGCTAATTGCCAGATGAATGTAACCACTTAAAAATGGTACTGCTAGTAAAAACTAAAGTAAAATAAAAAACTTTTGATAAATGATTCTACCCGGTACCTTTCTTAGTTACTTAGACGCCATTTGTAATGTTTTGTTACAAAGGAAGTCTAAATTAAATTATTTTATAATCTTAAATTCTTATTGTATGTCCAATTGCTTTTCCAGTCATTTTGATTGCATGTAGATATAATTTTTATTTGATAGTATATTAGCTTTATATATTTTTTTCAAATTTTGATGACAGCATGAAAAATAAAACGTAGCTTTGTTAAATAAATGTAGTATATTACAATTAACTTATGTATTCTAAAGGCCGAAACAAGACTGCTGTATAACTATCGCACGGTATATTTTCAATCTGTTCGACAGCATGCACCAGTATCATGTATATTTTGTAGTATAAATTTTGCTTGCATGAGAAAATATACGTAAATATCTGTATTGAAATATTTTAAGTATAATATACGTATGTTTAACACCTTATCTTCCAAAATAAATGTTGTTTAGTATACCTTGACTGCGTAGCTGGGATGTTATGACGGGACAGGTGGCACTTACCGCAACTTTCCGTATACTATTCTTTTTACGGCGGACTTTCTGTGTTTCGACTGTAATCGTAATCAGTTATAACATCATTTACGTTGACTGTTAAATATTGTTTTGCATGTACCCTCAATTTTTCTAAGTTCTATCTATTGGGACGTTTGGATAACAAGTAATCAGTTTCTAAGTGTATCCTAGAACTGTTAGCATAAATAGAACAAGGCGATTTCGTTATTTTCTTTGATTTAATGTAGATTAGTTAAATGTCGTCACGTGTTAGCTTGTACAAGATTCATGTCTAGATGACAAACCTTATTGGTGCAGTTTATAAATCAAATACTGAGAGCATGTTACGTTCCTTGCAGAACGGAAATCCAGAGGAAAAGGAGGAAAACACATAGTACGGCAATATGCACTTCTGACCAAATCATTTTTATTGCATTTGTGGATAAATAAATACAGTGTCCGTTTAAATCTGCTCAGGTCTTAGGCAGACAAATTAGTTCCACATAAATTATTTGATTTACATAACTGTTATTGCTGCTCACAGATAAAATAAGTGTTTTAAATATACAATAAAGTAAAAAATATTAAAATCTAACTAAATTTATGTACTTTACACAAAGAAATGCAGTTTACTTTGCGATGGTGAACGTTTGTGTTATGTTTCGTCTTAAATGTCCATATATATGCTGTTCGAGGTTATATAATCAAAAATATTTATTAAAATTCTGTTATTGTATAATAAAATGATAAATGTATATATAAATAGCAAAATGAATCACTTTACCTAGGAGTAAGACAAGGATATAGATATGAAACAAACTTTATTGTTTTTATTTTGCCTACCTACTGAATGTAGTATATTTTACATAACATAATTTCTTATAAATGTTTCTATGTGAAATGATATCAAAATAATTGTTCATGATTATATTTAATGTTTTATGAAGTAATATAAAATTCTAACTCAAATTCGCCGCTCTTTTGATAAAAATATATCTAAAAATATCCAAAAACATGCTTATGTATCTCGAATACTTGATCAAATACTTGATATTCAAATTGTATTTAACATTTAGTCCGCTATAACCAATTTGAACCAACATATATTAACACAAATGCCATAGCATAAACCCAAGTACTATTATCATAAGACGCTCTCAAATAAAACTGCTCAATTTTTAGAGGGTATCGGCAGGTATACAAAGTTCTGTAGGTACGCGTTAAATGTTTATCTACAATGACGGGTCTCATAAAATATAATCACAATGTTTCGTAGCCGCGAAGAAGTCCGCCACGTTCTTGAAGTTCGATAATTATAAAAGTATGCAATTTGATAACGTTCAACGGTTTACATAGATATTTTATTTATATCTTCTAAAAAGTGAGTAGCTATTATTCGAGGACCACATATAACTAAATATATACATATATATTTTGTAACATGTAGTATTTCTATGATCATCTATGCTCGAAAAGACCAATTTTATATACCTAACTATTCATGTTTATCTAACTTGTCTATGAAATGTGAATATACACAGCCATATAACTATATTATTATGATAATGACTTAGTAGTATCAAAATGAAATTTTGAAATGTTTATCAAAATACTTAATTTAAATTTTCATGCGATAAGTTTCTTTCTTGGAGGCGATTCAATCCCAAAAGTGTTTTAATTTTTTTATTGATTTCTGTATAAGAATTTAATGAAAGAATAAGACTTGGCCAAATTAATGTTCTCGACTGCCAATTATTTTACATTAAATAATAATCAATTATTGTGTGTATAAATAAATTTTTTAACATTCAAATTGTTCTAATTGACATTTTGTTTTTGACGACGCATTAAAGTACATGATGTTTCAGAAAAAGGTTTTTCTTTATTTTGTGTTAGCATTTTTAATGACATTTATTTTGGAAGATTTTTCGTCAAGTAAGCTTTTCTTTTAATGCTGGATGAAATATTGATAACTCAATATTTTCGTATTCTGTTTCGTGCAAGTAGTTTCGCAGGTACCCGATGCCAAAGATCGTGATAGCGTCATATACATACATTTGGCTCAGTTTGTAATTATGCCACGAGTATTTAGCACTTTGTTTTGGTCTTTTTTTAGCCCTACCTAGCTGAAGTAATGAGTTGCGTAAGTACCGAAAGGTGCAGTATATTATGTTGGTTTTGGTTAGTCGTCTAGTTCGCAAGTGGCGCCCCTCTCGCCGCTCGCGGCGTTCACCCAGCAGAAAGTGAAGACGCCGCTCCCCTCCGCACCGACTCCCCCGCCCACACCCGCTGATGGCACGTCCGTGGACCCGCCGCCGTCACCGCTGCGGCGACCGTTGCAACCACCACCCGCGCCGCCCACAGAGCCTCTCCCTGCCAAACAAAAACCTCAAGTGCCTCGTAAACCACAAACAAAGCGAGTTAGTTTCATTGAAGAAACGCCGAATGAGCCCGAACGATACCCTTTATTGACGAACGATACGAATACAATATTCCAATCTTCGATGCATGAGCATGATGACGAGCAGATGGGGCAAATCATCGATACTAACGATGCATGCGAGGGAATGAGCTCCTTACTAATCCGAAATCAAACTTCAACTCAGCTGGAACTCTCGAGACCGGTCCCCAAAGCGAGTCGAGTCCTTCACGCTGATCTCATCATCCCTCCTCCGCCTTTGTTTGATACTTATGTAAGTGATAGTGAGTTACTTGACGATGAAGATTACGAGGCAATTTTACCACCTATCACAGTTATACCTGATCGGATCATGCTACCAGAGCCTGCGGTGGCTGAAACATCCATGCAGTCCTCTAACTCAACCAATTCTCCTGAAACCGAAAATCCTCCCCCTTTAAAATACAATTCCTTTCCAATCTCGGGGCCGGTCGTATCTGTTGCACCTATTCGTTCTGTAATTATATCAGAAGTGCCTTCGACTCAAGTCTTCCGTATACCTGAACTTCCTGCAGTTGAAAATGATGGATATTATAACGAACTTTCTGTTAGTCCCGTTGGGGAACCAAACCCACCCGAGCTGCTACATGCTCAGTATAAAACTTTACCTACTGTATCACATGTACCTAATTCTCCATGCAGTTTACACCCAGATCAAGCCTATTTTGATGATCGTACCATGCATGGTCCTCTCCATCGTTCCTTAAGAGATTTGAGGACGGACATTATTTCACCCGCTTTGATTCATTCTAATACGTATCCACCAATTAATCCTTATCCATCTTTAACTACTGTATCCGGAACGTACAATCCATACACTTGCACTGTCCCAGTATGTTCTTCTAATCAAACTGGTCATATTATGAGTCACAAATCACAGACCGCTCTAGTCAGTACTTTAGGACAAGATATAAATGCAAATGTCACTTCTGGTATACCCGTTACTGACAATAATGCGCCAAAAAGTATTCAGTCAGAGAGAAGAGTTCGTTTCGGTGAGGTAACAACACTGGACGAAACCGATAGATTGTCAGACAATTCGGAACCCTTGAAGGAAGGCAGCCCTACGCCCGCATCTACCCTGAAACCCGCATGGAGCAGCAAAATCAAATCCTTCGCCATCGGCGAGGTAAAAATCAATCGGCATCTTATCCTCGCACACACACTCAGCTTCTTTTGATTGTGTTCGTCGACAACCCTACCCAGACTTTGACTAAAACACGTATAGTCTGTCATTCCTCCATATTCCATTTTTGTAACTTACCCTCATCGACTTTTATTGTTTTTAACTTGCAATTACTTATATTTTGCATGAATAATTTACTTACCGCAATAACTCTATATTTTATCGTCGTTTATTAACAATTAATACATTGACTGCATGGGTGTTAAGCCTTGTGGAGAAGGGTTTTCATAGCTTGTAAATATCATGAGCTTTTTAACTCATTATTTTTATTTGAAGCAAAACGATTATAGATTTTATAAGTAGTTAATGTGTGTAAATGTTCTCAGGCTTCCCCACCTCATTCTGGTAATTTTGTGAAAGCATCTGTCAGCGATAAGAAAAAATTCTTCGAAAATGCTATGGAAGAAAGTCATAAACCATCGCCAAAGCCAGGTTAATATTACTTTTAGTAGTCACTTCTATAAAACTATCAATTTTGTTGGATTAATATCGTTATTATTGTTAACAGATAAGGTATTCACATTCCTATCAGCGGATGAGGTGGAAAAATTGAAGCAAGAAGAGGAGAAGAAGATGGCATCTCTGTCGCGATCAGAGCTCGGCTCGTGGTCCCCAGGGGAGGACCGGCAGAGTGGAGATAGCTCGCATTCCGATGACGAACCCTACGAGAACGGCCATAGGTACCTATACGTTTGATTTTTTTTTGGTAAATTTAAAATATGTAGATATTGAACACTTTTTGGTAAGTGGTCTTTAAACATGCACAAAAAGTAGCACAATGTCATGCGCGGATCGAATGCAGCTAAAAAACACGTGCGTACGCAAACATTCTCTTTCAATCGATCTTCTAACGAGTTATTGTGTTTCGTGTAGTGTTTCGGGCGGTGTGAGTCCGTCAGCAAAGTCCCAACGAAGACGAGCTGGTCGCGATGGTGAAGTTGAAGATGCGGCCACCCGCGCGGCTAGGCGGGCGGCCTGGCGAGCCGCGAGACTGCGGTCACTCGAACAGGTATTTTTAACCCTATAGGGTTAAGTATACGTTACAACTTCTTAGTACGTTTACTTATGAATGGGTTGAAGTCTTAAGTATTACTTGATATGTATTTTGTAAAGTGGACGGTAGTATTTTTTTTTTACATTTTGTAATTATGAGCATACATGCCAAGTGTATTTACGATTCGTCTATAAGTAACAAATTAAAAAGAAATAATAATATGCTATCTCTATCATTGTTACAATAATGTATCATATAATTTTAAAATTAACTTCTATAATTGATTTCAAAGTTTGATGTTTTTAAGTTGTTCTGTTGACTGCACGGATGGCGTAGTGGTCTAAGCGGTCGCCACGCCGCTTCCTACTACGCCGAGTGTTGTGGGTTTAAACCCCACATGGGACAACATTTGTGTGATGCACAAATTGTTGTTCTGAGTCTGGGTGTTCTTTGTGTCCGTTTCATGTATGTTTGTAAAGTTCCCCCGCGACACAGGATTTATTCCTGATGCGGGAGTTGTCTTTAAAAAAAAACCAATCATAATTATATTAATTCAATTGAAAAAAAATACTGAAATAATTTACCCTTTCGCTATCGATATGATGTTATGACGAATGAGCAAATATGGCCTAGCGTTCTGTCACTTTAAGCGCGTCAATTTTAAATCTAAAATTTAATGCCACTTACCTATTTAATTAAATTGTAGTAGTTGTTTGTTGTTGCTTTTAATTTGATTAAAAATATCCAAAAAGAATGTAAGACCCGATTCTGTTACATAATTTTGGACATTTTTGTGACATGCGGGAACATGAGGAATGTATTTGTTGGTTTGCACAAATTTCCTAAAATCTATATATAAATACACGGTGTAAGGGCGACACCGGGCGACGAGGGCGGTGTACATCGTAACGAATACTGAAATAGTGTATTCAGACCATCATTCTAAGTCTAAAATCATAGGAATTTTCTGCCGGAAAATAAACTTTTTTTGCAAGCAGCTGCCAAAGGTAAAGGTCATTAGGTAGTATCGCACAAAAGTAAAAACTACGTGTGTATGCCGTGTAAATGTCTACGCACACTAACACAAATTGACGGCTGGAGGGAAGGCCCTTGATTAATTACATTGCAGTTTTTGTACATATGCGGTTCTGTTTAGGTACTCACTGTGGTATCATTTTTAACCAAAAAACTATATTTAAAAATATAATTATAAAAAAAATTGAATTTTCTGGCAGAAAATTCCAATGATTTTCGACTCAGGATCATGGTCAATCATGAATACACTATTTCAGTATTCGTTACCAACAACTTGTGTATATATAAGCTATATCTATTTTCATTTTTCAGTATCTTATATAATGTAGTATAAAGTATATTCTTTTTATTATCTGTACTGTAATTTGTGTGTAATTAAATTAAAACTTTTTATTTAAACCTATTATTTATTATATAGGAGGCGCTCGAGTCACAAAAAGCAATAAAGAGCATGGTGGGACCAGCCAGTGACATCCTGGAAGATGTACCACCAAGAGACAAATCTCCGTCCGAGGTAATTCTATAAATAATTCATGTTGGCCACAAGAATTATGTTGAATGTTGTCCAAATAAAACCACTAAAGCAACCAGTTCTGTTTATGGGAAACAATAACTGTTTGAGTATTATTCTTATCACACTTCTATTCTCTATCAACTTGCCTTAAATATCAAACAGTTTTTCTTTCTCTTTTACAGACTTGAATGTTCTATTATAATCCCATAATATACTTGTTTGTCAGTAACTGTTAACATTGTTATTAACGCTGAGTTCTCATGTCGTCGGTGTTTCAATAAGTGATCGTCTTTTATTATCTTTATTGAGTAATTGATCTTGAACATTTGTAATGTGTACTTGCGAGATCAAGTATTTACCTGTTATAACTAAGACTAACGTGTTGTGGTTGTGATATCGTCTTTGGTTTGGATCAATGTCGCTTTGCTGGCATATTGTTGTACGTTCAAGTTGGGGTGCAATTGTCACAATTAGCTTTACAAATTATAGAAATGGCCCCTACCACGTATTGCGTTACGTACAAAACCGGGCCCTATACTGGCCGTCAAGGAGAAAGAAAAGTTGTTAAACGAGCGCATTACTCTCCGCACTGAAGAGTTCGTGTGCCCGGCAACCGGCGAGACTAAAGTGCGAACCGTCGAGTACATTGAGAAAGTCATTGAAAAAGAGGTACGAGTAACGCCGCGACTTGTACATTGTGCTACGTAAAATGCTGTACACAAGCAATGCCGTATCGTGTGTGGTTTTATATCTTTTTTGTACATCTTACAAACTACGCTTAGCTTTCAATGTGCCACTATGAGACGGATGACACAAACAGTGACAATAAAGACTATGACAAATTGAACGTTAACTTGTACATGATTCAGTTGTTCGTAGAAACAACGAAAAGATTGACTGACCGAGTAATTCTTATTGTATAAACACAGAATTGTAATGGGGCCTCTATGAGAGCACATAATGAAAACACTGCACAAACGCGAACATCACGATTAAGGTAGTTTTGACTGTAGATACTCACTTAGTACCTTATACTCACGTAAATTAGTACTAAATTGACGTGGCAATAACAAGACTTGTATGATAACGTATACCTACCGTTGTTTGTCAATCCCATGTAATATACAATAATTTGAAAGTACACCGTAACTTATATTTAATTTATTCTATTTACTCTTATCTATATAATGTTCCTCACGAGTGTTGCATGATATTTTGGCATGGCATGCTAACTTAATTTATTGTGTAATTTGTCAGACGATACCTGGATTCTAGACACGGCAAGCTTCGTCGACCAATGGTTTGTTGCGTTTATTACTCTTCAACAACTTCTTACTATAAGCTTTCTTATCGCTTTAGCTGTAGAAGCGATACTAATTCACTAACGCATTTAATAGAAGAGTAACTAAAGTAGTTAGTGCATGTCATTTTTTTTAAATGGGTAACCAACTTCATACCATTATACATATAGCATGAGTTCGGTGACGTTTGGTATTTTAAATTTAGGAATGATAAAATCATCTGATGATCAATAAAAGTAAGTGATAAAAAATATATATTGAATAACCGAAACTATTTTTATTGCAATCCAACATTTGTATTGTGAAACAAAATCAATTTTAGGTACAAAAATAAAACATATTTATTAGTACTTAATCACCTATGCAGGAATTATTTAGTCACTTAGTGAGTAGCAATTTTTCGCTGAGTGTCACCACAACTATTACAAGCTTTTTATTAACTTGCAAAGTATGTAACTATGTTTGTAGACTGCACAGATGGCTTTCTACTACGCCGAGTGTTGTGCGTTCTAACCCCCCACATGGGACGACACTTTGTGTGATCTACAAATTGTTGTTCTAAGCCTGGGTGTTCTTTGTATCCGTTTCATGTATGTTTGTTAAGTCCCCCGCGACACTGGACATATTTAAAACGCGAGAGTTGTCTTTTAAAAAACAAAACAAAACTATGTTTGTTCGGGTGGAATCTTGCAACTCAATTTTGAAGCACATTTCTTGTTTGTTGTTAAAAAGCTTGTTTTTAAAGAGGTTTTTTACTTTTAATTTAAATCCTATATCTTTCTCTGATTATTTCTAAGTTGTGGTTGATAGCTGATTATTTTTAGTAAAATAAACATCACAGTTTTCCCAGAGTCATCCAAGAGATGAAAAGCAGTCAAAGCATACAACATGGACTTTCTGATTTTGATTTGCCGGAATGATGACCGAAAGACTTGAAGTTTGTTATTATACTTGATATGTATAAAGCTTTACCTAAACTTAAATGGAAATATTAAAACCTTTGCATAACAATTATAAATGGCATTAAAATATTTACTCGCTTACAATGATTTAAATAGATCAATCAATCTCTATGAAGACATATTTTTATGTTATGAATAATGTTTTATTGTTTTGTCAGCCTTGTCTTAGCCTTGAAACTATAAATATACCTATATACATACATGTGTATACATATATACACCTAATTCAAAGCAACTTATTCCGTCTGAAAATATAGTTTACAATGAAAATAAAATATATATTTTTACACAGTTATTATATCAGGATCATATCTTTATAGGTCTTATCTTTATTTTATACAAAAATAAAATACGTGAGACGAATCAATTCAAGTATCACAGAACTCATGCTATTTGAAAAATTGTGTAGTCCTCATTCTCCTAATTGCAAGCTCAAAAGTGCCTACTTAATTCTGAGAGCACATAAAATTCAATATACATAATCTACCATAAAAAAACAATAACAAATCGTTTAATATCATTTGGTACTACTGTTTTGTTTTTCTATTTCGAAAGTCAGCTATATGACATAGCTATAGCATAGCTATCATGACATCTTTTCAAGTAAATTCCTCATGACATTTATCATTCTCCGTTTATAAAGGAGCCTAAATACAATGGTAGTTATTCACTAATTATGTATACAGGTGGAAACAACGCAAGAAAAGATAATATCCTTGGAATTGACTACAAGCCCAAGTAGTGAGACAGCTCCTACAGACCTTGAAGAAGTTGGTATCGGCTTAGGGGAGGCTGGAGAAAACTCTCTACAACCGGATATCGTGCAAGTTGTAAACCCTCTACTGGATGGCGGAGCTGGACAGGTCACCGCCATCCCTGTGGGGCCCGCGCACAGAGTTACGGCGTACACAGAAACACAACAATAGACACACATAAATCTCCGCTCAGTCATGCCTACATGAATACACAAGATGATCCCATGACAATATCGGCCATCCACAATTTATTGCAAACTGAGACACCACTCAATTAGTTGTTGAGTATCGAACTCGATTGTAGATTTCTTCAACGAAACGAACGTTAGTGAAACGAGTTTCCATCTTAATTTTGTATTGTAACTGTGATAATAATATTTAGATTCCACCGACTTGTTATGTTACTTAAAAGCGCTTGAAGAAATCCACCAACGAGACGCGTTTTGCGGTATTTTATTTTGATCACAATTTATATTTTTTTATTTTAGTTATCCGACGGAGATTTTAGGTTAATGATAGGTGTTACTATATATTTTCGAAAATATTAATAGTTATTATTCTTTGAGTACTTTATGTATTTAATTTTAAATAATTTTCATTCCGTGCAAGTTTTAGTTTTTTGACTGAATGTTGATGCTGTACCTGTTGGTAAATGTGACTGGATGATCGATTCGATTCTAAATGGGTTTCGAGTGTAAGGTGACCTTTAGGTGTACATACCATCTACAACACAATAAATAATGAAAAGCGAGACAAGCGACTATACAGACATCACATCTAGGGACATACCTTAATTATTATATAAACTTATTATACTTACATTATACAATTACTTATTGGTTAATTCATTCAGTATTGTGTTTTATGGTGTTTTAATACTTAAATTGTAATTTAACAATAATTTAATTTTATGTGGTGCCTTGATAATTTGAAATCAGTTTTATATAAATATATATAGAATTTTATCATTCAATTTGTGTTTTTTTAAATATTAGGTACTGTAATTTTGTTTCGAAAGATATTTTAGAGAGGTTACGTAATTTTATTATATTGTAATACCTGCTACAGGAGGTGATGAATTACGCATTTGTATCAATTATGACCATAGTGTGTATTTTTAGGATTTGTAATGTCTGTAAAATGACCTGGAATTTTGCAGGTACAACAAAGTGTACATTTCCAATTGTACGAAATGTATTATTTGAATTGTTAGTATTTAATTAAATATGTATATCATCGTAAATAAAATGAATGGAAGAGTGTGCCCTTTATACCTTTTTAGTGATACATGCACAATGCATGTAACTATTGAAAACATTGTATGTTTGTCCCAATTAAATGTTTTAATATATATTTTAATAAAATTATTCTGCCTTTTATTACAAACCATACTAAGAAGAAAGACAATAATCCTACTTAGAATATTTTATTTAATAATAGTCGTATATTTAGAAACACAATTTAAATTACTGTAATGTAATAAGGCGACAAAAATATCATAAAAACAATCCACGCATGTAACACGGTTATTTCTTCGGCGCGATGATGCCTTCCAATTGCGCCTGGAATGTAATATAGAAGGTTGTTAATCGGCGCGGACCATAATCTAAACAGGATATGGGCTTGGGACTTTAGTATGTAATCACTTCCTAGTTCAGTTGTTAGAATAATTAAAATTACAATAATAACTTGAAACACGTCACGGCGGCCGTTTTACCCTATACTACGGTACGTGCTTGGTTGCCAGGTTTATGATAAACTGATGATAAGTAAACACGCATATTTATTGTACTCAAACAGAACAAATGATCGTGCTAATCGCACAATTATTTGGAGGGTTCTGGAATCGAATTCAAGATCTTTGGCCAGTTAGGATCGATAACCACTACATCATCTGGCCCGTTAATTCTTTAAACGTCTTAATAAATTGTTTATAGCTTATTAATATATTTTTGTAAAACTGTAAGGAAAGTGGACTGTATGTATGTATCTGTATAACTTGGTATTTACCAAGTTATACAGATAAGTAATTAAATAAGAGTAGGATTCGGTAAGCCCAAAATCGATCTAAGCGGCGTGCAATGGGAGAGGACTGTCTAGCAGTGGACTGCTATAGGCTGATGATGACGATGATCCGATTTAAAAGGACACAAGGAAATAACAAAATTAGAAGCAATACCTTGTGCGCAATCTAATGAGACACTAAAAACACTGTGTCGGGGACACGATGTTTTTTTCAGTTCACTTTCTTCAATGATGCCCAATACCTTCACTTTGCGCTTCATTATAGCAAAAATCACAAATAAGCAACTACTTTCGGTTATACCTAACCAAATGTAATTAAGTTTGTCTCTAGCCTTTAGTTGTGCGTTAGTCTTCTTCAGCGCCAACAACTCTTCCTGGTGGCGTTTCTCTTCAGCAGCTCGTAGTTCGGCAGCTCGTCGCTCCAACTGTTCAGTCTTCTGCTTCAATTCCATGCACGTTTTTTCCAAAGATGAACGTTCGGCCTCGAGCTTTGCCACTTGATCCATAAGGTCTGATTTTCCTTGTTCCGACTGCGAAGTGTTTATAATAAATATACATTATGTGCAATTAAAGTAAGTAGTTATTTGTGACTATCTTTTACCGTACGCGTAATGTCGATTATCGCGGTAAAAAGTAGCCTATGTCTTTCCACAAGAATCAAGAATCTCCATACCAATTTTCATCTAAATCGGTTTGATTCCCCATACAAACTTCCATCCCCCTTTTCACCACCTTAAGGATGTTTTCTGGGATAAAAACTAAACTATGTCCTTTCCCGGGATTCGGAAGATCTCTGTTCCAAATTTCATCTAAATCGGTTTAAGCGTGAAGAGGTAACAGACGGACAGACAGACACACTTTCGCATTTACAATATTAGTATGGATGACATATCCATTACTTTTAATCGGTTAGATATAATAGAAACAGTAATGAGGAAGTAACACTAAAATGCATTGTTTATAACCTAAATGAATAGATCGATCTCTGAAAAACGTAGTTTGATTCTATGACAAACCTGCAAAGCTTTTCTCATGCCGAAAGCGATAGAACTACAATATAAGGTTTGGTAAGCTTCCATCGTGATTCTCGCCTCATCACGAACGCGTAGTAATAAGAGACCTCTTTCGCCGCAATTTATAGTAACCTGCAGAAAACAGATAAATATTAAGCTGAGGAGTATATATGTTTTATAGCGAATGACTTGTATTGATTAGATAAGTGATATTAAACGAAAAAGTGTAATTTCAAAAATAAATTGTTCTAAAAACGCTAAAACAGATCTCTAAAACTCAGTAAAATTTGGCACCTGTCGTATAAGTTCATCGAAGCATTGAGTGTATAATTGTCTCCGTACTGGACAAATACCGGTTTCTCTAGCTTGTCTTTGTTGTAAACGTGTATCAAGCATTTCCTGAAGATTTATCACATCCAATCGTGTCGCTGGCGTCGAGGAAATCTGAAAATATCTTTATAATTAGTAGGTATATTAAGTTCATGCCGTGAGTATTTACTTAGTTGATGGTCTAGTGCTTGCTTTTCTTTTTCTACAGAGTATAGTCACATGTAAATACAATACAATAACAATACCTACATGAAACTGATAGCGATTGATGACTTTTGACGGATACAGGATAGCCAACTTCGGTCCAACATTTTGGTCCTATGTACATTGCTGCTTATGACAGTCCAATGGAGATAAAAAAAACATTTCTTGCGAACATCGTTCACTAATGTTTGTAATAGTATCGTCATCAAGGAAACAGAGGTTATTAACACCCATACTACTTCTAGATTTTTTATAATTTCTACCTAGTTTACAATATATAAATTCGCCTGGTGTTGGTCTCGCGGCTTAGGGATTGATGAGGTGGTACACGTTCTAAGTATACTGCTAGTAGGAACGCAATGTATTTAATATAAAGTATGTAAGTATTTATTACCTACTTATTAATTATTACATATAACGGGTATTTCTCTGTAAACATTAACTATGGTAAATCTTAAACTCGTATCTGCTACTTAGAAGCTTAGGTGCAAAAATCTTTCTATATGAATCTTGAAATATTTCAGTAACTAAATCTTAGTGCTGTGCTTAGAAATTGTCAAAAGGCTTACTTTTTGGGTCCAGATTTGACCATCTTCTTCCCATTCTTTAGGTGGCAAAATAGCATTCAGTATCTCTTCAGTCTCACGTTTTGCTTCAGTCGGTATGCATGGTTGTACAGATGCACCAGCTCGAGGTGAAGGCTAGAAAATTGTGGTTGTAGTTCTTATTAACTTAGCTGATTAATTTATGCGTTTACTAAATTACATAATACTTTTTTTTTCTGATTGGTGCTGTCACATACATGAAAGAGTAAAAAAAAAAAAATTTACACACATCTCACCAAACTAGACAGAGCCTGTACTATGGTAACCAGACTGCTGATAAACATACTTATATATTTCTAAATACATAGGAACATATTATAGATAGGTAAAGTACACCCAGACAGAACAAATTACCGATAAATAAATATAAAAATACTTCAAAATTTCGTAACTTAAATGTTGGGAGTTACTGTTATGTGTACTGTGTGAGTACAGTATATAAATGCACAAAAAAGATATAAACGGGGGGTAAATAGAACCATAATGGTATCCAACAAATGTTATGAATACTTACGACTTTTTCGATCTTTTTTGTTACCAAAACAGGATTGTCATAACGGACTAGAGTTTCTTCGCTAGATACGGGTGCTCTCTCAGCCATTCTTAAGACAATTTCTTTAGATAATTGATAATGATTTTAGTTTTTAAAACGTCAAATAATTAGGAAATATAAATATTTGGTATCCATGGGAACCAACTGCTTGTTGCATAGCATTATTGCTACGCAACCAACAAGAATTTGCAAAAAAAAAAAACAAAAAAACACATAAGGATGCAAGCAAGGACAAAAAGTATTCATTGTAAACCATTAAGGTTCACAATTCAATGTGTTTGCGTGTATACCTACGGTTCTGGGGTTAAATCTGAAATGAACAGACAGCCAATATTCATAACACGAAAACATTTGCAATTTTTTCGACATCTGTAGTAGAAGGACAGTAGATACATAATAATCAAAGACTGTGTTTTCAAAATTTTCGATTAAACTTAAATTTAAATCGTTTTAATAGTGTGGGTCACAATTTGACAGGTGTGAATGCTATAACATTATTATCCGCTCGAACAGCTTTTTGTATGTTAGAGGGGGCTTAGCTTGTTTCGTTAGCCGATGTAACTGTAACCATGCTCAGTTGTTGATAGAAAATGACTCATTTAATAGTCGGAACTCCCCGGTTCACTCTGACCTGGCTTGTGGCACCCCCATGTTGTTAACAAATAATAATAAGACACCCTTATAACGGAGAACAACTCAGAAACCTTTAAAAGAAATAAAATTATAATATTCAGTGATGAGATTGGGAAGGGTATGGGTCAGTTGCTGAGAAATATGTGCAGTGATTTATTAATAACTAATTTCTGTATGTCTGGTTTAGAGTATTGTCAAATTTTAATATTAACAAAACTTTCCAGTCCTAAGTTCAGCCAGGATACAATTTTGATAGTTTTAATTGGAAATAGAGGCAATTTAGATAGGCAGAGTTCGCTGCATTATTAAAATAAACTATGTGCATTTAATTTGAAACAGACAATCATATATTATCTACACTGCCATATAGTAAAGGCTTGCCAGAGGAAGAAAATAACCTTAGGTATAAGTTAAATATGCAGTTACACAATATGTTATATAATTATACTTTTAATTATAGTTTCATACAATTGACAATATTTATATACGAGTATGACGAAAGATAGGTGTTATCTTTCATGGTTTTGTAAACGACAGTTAGCAATATGGCTATCTTATTTTATTGATATGACAGCCAAAAACTTGGTTATTAAACCAGTTGCTCAGGCAACTTATATTGATCCAGCCAAGCGTTTGGCTATGAATTCACATATTTTAAACTAGATGTAGGGACAAAAGAGGTCACGTCTAGCTTAAATTTACCATACAGAATGGTATCAAAGAAATGTACAACCAACACTTTTACTGTAGCGCATCAAAATATTCAAGGAATGTCTAGTAAGCACCTAGAAATTGAATTGTTCATGAGCTGTGACAAAATTTATATTCTTTGTATTACAGAACATTGCCTAAAAGTCATCAGCTCATGTTTAACTTCAGTAATCATATATTAGGTAGTTCGTTCAGTAGGGAGCGTGCTGTACATGGCGGTTCATTAATTTTTATTAGAAAGGATTTAACTTATAGGAACCGTACTGATATTTTAGGCTTACTAGGAGCCTACTAGGATCACAGCCACCACAGCCAGGTGCATAGATAGTATATTTACTGACATAGTGCCACACACCAAAGGAATAATAAAGATGTGTGCTTTTGCTATGAAAAACAGAATGGTGGTAACACGAGATATTACTGTAGTACCTAAAACTGTAACTCGTATGGAAAAATTCAAAAATAAACTTCTTAGTAAACTACCCCGCTTGGGTTATAGTGATGATCCTAATCAATTATATTACGCTTTTTTTAACATGTATTATTCAAAATTTAAATCAACTTTTACTCCTAAGAAGTTGTCAGTTAAAGGTGCCACAACCTTCAGTGAATGGGCCACGGTAGGTATATATAAAAGTAGAACAAGGCTTTATGAGCTTTATGAAGAAATAAATTATAATACTAGTATAGAATTTCGAGAATATGTCAAACAATATTATAATATATTTAAAAAAAAAATGTTATTCTGCAAAGGTTAGCTATTTAAGATCTAAAATTAGTAATAGTTCAAATAAAATTAGAATGACCTGGGAAATAATTAATACAGAAACTGGAAAAGCAAAGAACAAATGTAATAATTACAGCCTTACAATTGATAATAAAGTAATTAATTCCGATATAGATGTCGCCACAACTTTTGAAAAAAAAATCACAGACATTCCAGTCTCAATCACAGAATCATTGAATTCGTCCCCCACTATTGCAGAATCTTTATTGAAAGAGAATATTAACATTTGTAATACTGAGTTTAGATTTAGTTGTATCACTGATAGAGATATTATAATAAAAACGTTCAATGCTCTTAGTGTTAAGAAAACCGCCGACGTTTGCGGTAATTCTGTACAAATAACCAAATCAATTATTATCTTAGTTGGATCAGAGTTGGCCTTAATTTTCAATAGGTGCATTGAATGTGGTGTATTTCCTGATTTGATGAAACATAGTAAGATCATTCCTTTATTCAAGGCGGGTAGCACGTCTGATCCTACAAATTATAGACCAATTTCAGTGTTGCCTACTTTCAGTAAAATTTTTGAGAAGATTATACTGGATGAGCTACAAACAGTTTGGATTGACTCACTTGACAACAGTTGCAAGCAAAATTCTACACAGGAAACATCCTGTGTAGACTTTTGCTTGCAACTGTTGTCAAGTGAGTCAAATCCAAACTGTTGTTTGGATTCAGAAGAGGTCGCTCGACAAGTGATGCCGATGTTGAACTTTTGGAAAATATATTTAGTGCCTGGGAGGATAAACAGGATGCCCTGGGTGTTTTTTTGTGATTTATCTAAGGCATTCGACTGCGTTTTTCATGAAACATTAATCAGGAAATTGCATTGCTATGCAATTAGGAACACTGCTTTGGATCTTCTTATCTCTTATTTGGGTAATAGGATCCAGAGAGTGGAAGTTAATGGACAGAGATCCCTGGGGTCTCTGGTCACTATGGGGGTTTCGTAGGGCTCAATTCTCGGCCCATTTTTATTTCTAGTTTACATAAATGACCTACCTAATGTGATAAAAGATAATCAGGAGATAGTACTATTTGCGGATGACACTTCACTTTTATTTAAACTTAGACGACAGCAATCAGTAACTGATGACGTGAATAGCACTCTCTCTAAGGTTGTGAACTGGTTTAATGTCAATAATTTACTTTTAAACGAGAATAAAACGAAATGTATTAGATTTTTTACACCTAATGTTACGCAGGTAAAGACCAAAGTTCTAATAAATGGAAAGGAGTTGGATCTTGTGGACACCACCAAGTTTTTGGTTATAACACTAGACTCTAAATTGCAATGGGGCCCACGCGGTTTATAAAATTCGTCAATTAACTGTTGTAGAAACAACTAGACTGGCGTATTTTAGCTATTTTCATAGTGTAATGTCATACGGTATTTTGTTGTGGGGAAATGCTGCTAACATTCAAAATATCTTTGTGTTGCAAAAGAGAGCTATTCGTGCAATTTATAATCTGCAGCATACGCGGTTTATAAAATTCGTCAATTAACCGTTGTAAAAACAGCTAGACTGGTGTATTTTAGCTATTTTCATAATTGAGTTAAAACAACACCTCCGAGAGGCAAACCTCATTATCACTCGTCGAAAAAAGTGTAACCACTTTTGAGCTTTGACGACGTACCTTTGATAATACTAAACATTTGAAAGTAAACATATTTATGTCTCATTTACACGCGAGACAAGAACAATACCATCGCTCGGATTAAACAAAGACAAAGACATAACTTTACGATATATGGCCAGTGTTGACTACCGTATGAAATTTTACCCATAACAACCAAGAAACATTTTTTTTTTAAAACAATTTTGTAATAAAATAAATTAATTTAAATATTTTAAATAATATATTTCGAATTGAATGGAATAGGTATAAATAATAAAATAACTGTCAATATTTGTTATTATATTATTATTGTTATATTTGTATTTGTTAAAAGGGTTTATATTCAGTGTAAAATCAAACTCCGCTATGAAGCATCAGTTTTTATACAATTGTCTTTTAGACTCTTTTTTATAAGTTTGTGTGGATAATTTACTTTCATGATACAATCTTATTTTTACGTATGTATAAATAATGGCATTTAATAATAAAAGTGAATGATCAACTTGTACTGATAATAAATAATCCCCAGGGTGTATTGCAAATTATTTTAATATTTTAAAATACAAATAAAAATATATATAAAAAAAAATATTTTTTATTATTTATTTATATTTATTTACTTTTTTATTTTGTATTTTTTTTTTAAATAAATATGTTTTTTTTTGTACAATTATTATTTAAAATTGATAATTAATTAAGAAAAACAATGAATTAATTCTTTTGTACAAAAGTCTCCAGCACTGCGAGCTTGGCAGAAGGTGAACGTTCAACGGGTCCCTAAAAAAAGTGATCAGTCTAGCCCTAACAACTACCGTTCTTCCTATATTTTATTATTATTGGCAAAATGTTTAAAAACAGTATAAAGCATATTATTTCATAAATTATAAATTCTCCCACTAATGTGGGAAAACCAAAATGATTTTTTAATGGTAACACTGATTCTAAATTACAATTATCAATTTTTTATTTCAATTATAGCCTTATTTACGATATTATCAATACAAAAACCATAAACTTACACGTGAAAAGTAATTCCGCATGATTTATTATGGTTTTGTGACCTTGAATCGCATTCTTTCACTACGCATTTACCCATTTTGGCGATTGTTACTGTCATGTGTCGCTATGTTCAACTCGGTTGACGCCACATTGAACACTGAATTATCATTGACTGAATTGACGTTTGCTACGCATATGGCTGTGGATAGATGTGCAGTAGCATCGATTTTAGGCGGTAATTACTCATCTATGTAAGTATTATATCAATGATTTTCATAGTGTGATGTCATACGGTATTTTGTTGTGGGAAATGCTGCTGACATTCAAAGTATCTTTGTGTTGCAAAAGAGAGCTATTCGTGCAATTTATAATCTCAGTTATAGGCAGCCACTGAGGGATAAGTTTAAAGAAATTGGTATCATGACAGTCGCATCTCAATACATATATGAAAATTTAGTGTAGGTATGTAAAGAAAAATAATCATTTATTCACAAAGTTTAGCGACATTTATAAAATAAACACTAGAAATAAAGATAAACTCGTGCTACCAACCACTAGACTACAAAAAGTAAACAAGTCTTTTCGTTGTCAGGGTGTGCGATTTTACAATAAAGTGCCAAGCAAATTTCATGAATTAAGTATTAACAAATTTAAGTCATTAGTAAAGCTAAAACTGTGTGAAAAGGCTTACTACACTATTACAGATTATTTAGACGACAAATTTGCTTGGGATTGATGCTGCTCACTGTCACATTTACGTAGACATCTTTGTTGTTAATTTTGAAAGTGATGGACATTTAATTATTATTTTTTTGGTGTATTTAATTTTATTTTGGTTTATTTTGTTTGTTTTAATTTGTTTATTTTTCGTTGAATTTGAATTGTATAGTATTTGTGTAAGTATGTAAATGTGAGTATAGTGTAGGCTTGTAATGTTAATTAATATTTTAGTATCTTTCTGGTGGTTTCGAGTGTTTCCACGGCCTACCCAAATGTCCTGCTGGCGGTAGTGTCATGCTTCGAGTCGTTGATCTTGACCTATATCGGTTAGGCTACACAATGGCTGGAGCCTGTATGCCGTCTGTATGGACAGGCTGACTCAAAACTATGGTCCTTTCCTCAAAAGGCCTACCCAGACCCCATACTGTACTCGCACAGTTTTCTTTAACTTTGTTTACGGACTTAAAAAAAAGACACCTCTGTAGTTTGTTTCGGCGTTTCTTCCCAGAGTGGGTCTTAGGAAATGCCGGCTCCTTCTAGCTATAAAGTCCGACTTGTAAAAATATCTGAAAAGATTTACTAACAGAAATATATATCATTTAATCATTAATCATTTGATGCTGCACCTGCCCTTTAGTGGCTAGTACGCGACTCTGGGTGAGAATCGACTTCGAATCTTTACGAACAGCTTAAGTTATGCCGTCCTACATGCATGGCCTAATAGAGACCAATCTGCCGTCACCAGACGGTAATATTGATATCATTGTATTGATCTGACTCTTATAAGCTTTTCACGTACGTCATCGGGGTCATCTCTCTATTGTTCTAGTGTCCCGTTTTTTAAATACTATTATTATTACTGACGTTTGAAAGCGTACTGCAACAAGGCCTAGTCAATAAAATTAATTTAAGTTTGATCTCTATGTTCTAAAGGTTCAATTGAAACAATATTGTATTTTAAATGAAACTTCATCGACAGCGAACCGCCTGAACCGCAATTGAACTACGGTTAACTCGGTCCAATTCGCAAATGTCCACCAAAGCAATGGACTTTTTGCGAATTGGACATTTTACGCCTAAACCTTTTGGGCGCTCTATTTTTGGACCCTTTGGATCAGATCAGTCTGGGCAGGTGTATATATGTTCATGGTCTGAGATAGAAATTCGTTGGCAGTCAAATTTTAACTGAAGTGGATCCACCCACACTAACCACCTAGTTGTGACAAAGATACCCACAAATTTCTTGGCTGAAAAGCAAGCAAATAAAATAAAAACGAGGGTTAGGCCGAAGTTCTTGAGAAACAAAATGATAAAAATCATAGATTTAGATTTTATTTTAGTCATTATTATCATAATGACTATTTGACACAATTGATATAACAAAATATCCTGCAGTATATATTTGCTTTTTATAATGCAGGGTAAAAGACGTGAAACTACTACTAAGAATAAAGTAGTAGATTGATTTTATTCTGAAAATTATATCTAATAGAATCAGGAGAACAGTCTTCATATTTCTGTAAAATTGTAATCTAAATTTTAACTTTAGAAAAGTCACCGCACTGCACTAATTAGGTTCACAAACTATATTGTTTTTGTTTTGTTTGTGTATCATTTCACTTAGTATTTCTTCTTTGCTTTTATTCATTGAGAATCGCTACTCGAACTGGAACTAGAGTCAGTCGACATAACTTCTACATCCTCCTGATTCGGCGCATCTTTACCGCGTCCATCAATTGCAACGGAATTGCCTCCTCCAACTGACATATGAAGCTCGCCGGTTGGATGCCAAGTAAACTGATTTGTTGGTGTAGCTGGCACTGCAAAATATTTATGTACATTTAGGCTTCCATTATATTTTAATTTAACATAAGAGGTATGGGCATTTATAAAACTATAAAAATTACAATGTAAAAATTCAAACAATTATTTAAGTTACAAAAACAACCATTAAATGCCAACAATCTGCAATATAAATGTGTTAGCAGGACAAATGTACACACAGCATTTTTGAGGATTCATGTTACTAAAACAATCTGTTATGTTTATAATGTGTATTAAGGGCTAAATAAAATTGTTTTTAAAAAAATCACCTCCCTCCCTCTTAGAAATGTAAGGTACACAAATTACTCATTTGATCATCAGTATGTCAGATGCATGTATTATTATTATTCAAAGAAAAGATCTTTTCAAACCACTAAACTTAAATAAACTTTGTTTGTAAACTACATACTATAGAGTAGTTACCATTCTAATCATTATTCAATTACTTTGTTCTAAAATTTAAAGTACAAAAACATATATCAGTTAGATGTGACCCAGGACTCGTAGGTCTGGTTAACATGGTATTTTCAAAAAAGCACAAAATGTGAACTGGGCCCCAATTCTGCTCTTTTAATATTGTATCAGTTGACTGTCGTCGGAATAGTTTTGCACTTTTCGTATTCCATTACCTATGTAAGACCCAGTCCCCCAATTACGTGTCATGGAGAAACTGCGTAGCATTGACTCAACATATGCTCCGGGGACTGTTAAGGACATCGACAGTCATGTTGTCAACCTTACACAGACACTTTACGATTGCTTTGAACAAATATGCCCACTTTCTACACCCTGGACCGGACCACAGAGCAAACACCAATCCGGAACTGGAAAGACTACGTCGTAAAGCGAGAAAGCTGTTCAATAGAGCAAAAAACTCCCGACTAGACCAACATTGGGATGCATATTCGCAGGCCCAACAACAATACAAGAAGAGAATCAGAACCAGGAAAACTGAGTGCTGGAGAAACTTCTGTACTAACATAGAGAACAACAACCAGGCCAATAGAGTCAAAAACATATTGTGTAGCAGAGGCGAACACAATCTTGGCTCACTGAAGAAGCCCGATGGTGAGTATACCAAAACAGACTCGCAAGCCTCAGAGCTGTTATTGAAAACACACTTCCCTTGATGTCGCATATCAGATGTGACGGAAACATGGGAAGACAGATGATACAGACTGGGATACGGGTTGTCAACCGTGACAAACTAAGATAGGCAATTAACAGCTGCCTGCCATTCCTGGCGCCAGGACTAGATGGTATCTTCCCAGGCCTACTGAGATGATGTGACTGGATCATCTTGTTAAAATCTACAGGGGCTGCTTGGCGCATCATTACATCCCCCTGAAATGGAGAGAAGTTAAAGTAGTCTTCATTACCAAACCTGGTAAAGGTGACTACACACAACCCAAATCATACCGACCTATCAGTCTCACGTCCTTCCTATTAAAGGTTCTCGAGAGGCTAATAGATAGGGAAATTAGGGAAACTGCGTTAGTCAGTCACCCCTTACACCACAATCAGCACGCATACTCGATGGGTAAATCAACAGAATCTGCCCTACATCGAGTTGTATCACATATTTATTTATTACAACTATGGAGGATTTACAGCTATGATGATTACAATAAAAACAGTCAAGAAAACAGATAGCCAATAACAAATCCTCACTTATATAAATCAGAGATAAGTTACAGTGCATAAGACAATACAGAATAGGATCAAGAGGTATTATAGAAGTTACAGGCACAGATCACTTACAAATTACACAGAACGTAATAATATACACACAAAACAGACAGGACCCATAACAATAACTACTCAGACCCCCCACCATCACCCCTGAAGAATTTAAGGCTTAAACACCTCCTCGCTCCCGTTACACTAACATTAAAAATATCAATTCCAAATTGTTCACACACATTATTGAAGCTTCTAGTTGAACGAATAACAAAAGAATTTTTTCTATAGTTCGTCAGTGCAAATGGTACACTCAGCGGTGGGTTATAGCGAGTTCTTGACGGAATATTAATATTAAACTTAGATAAAAGTTCGCAGCAGTCAATTTCGTTACTAAAAATTTTTAATAATAGGGTACAATCAGCGATTTCACGACGCGTTGTAAGGGGTAGTAAATGGTACTTCTTGCAAAGGTCAAAGTAAATTTCCGAGTGATAAGGTACTTTCTGGTGAAAGCACAAATATTTTATGAACCTTCTCTGGATATTCTCAATTCGGTCCACATATTTTTGGTAGCAAGGATTCCAAACTTCACATGCATACTCTAAATGGCTTCTAACAAAGACTATAAAGAATATAGAAGACAATCTAAATTACAAAAGGTCAACACTGGCCCCACCTTCTATGGAACACGGTTGTGTTTGAACTTATCACACAACTCAATGACCGAAGATTCCTCACAATAGGCTATGCAGACGATCTCACTATCCTCATCAGCGGTCCCTTTGAGAACGTTACATGCGATCAAATGAGACTTGCACTGAAGATCGTTGAACAGTGGTGTGTAGCACACAACCTGACAGTGAACCCATCGAAAACAGAGATGATCGTGTTCACAAACAAACGCAGTCTAGGATACCTCAGACTTCCCAAGGTATTTGGAACTTGTTCTAACCAAAGAGGTCAAATACCTAGGAGTAATACTGGACAGTAAACTCCTGTGGAATAAACTGAAAAACAACAAAATGAACTGAAAAACTGAACAAAGCCTGCATCATCTTCAGCTGGGTACTATCAACCAAGATTACTCTAGGGCTTTACAGAATAATCATAAGACCAATAATCACTAACGGTGCTGTTGTCTGGTGGCAGAGAACAGAGCTAAGCACCGTCATAAACAAATTGCAGCAATTCCAGCGACTCCCATGCTCTGCGGTCACTGGCTGTATGCGCACAACGCCAACTGCCGCACTGGAGGTAGCTCTGGGTCTGCCCCCCACTGGATTTATTCATACAGCAGGAGGCCGCCATGGCGATCATTAGACTCAGACACCTGGGCCTATGGCATAAGAGTGAGGTATCGCACTCCAAATTATGGGATCAGTTGGTGGAATACTAACCACTAATAGCAGCCCCATGCGATAGAATCCCAAAACACCACATCTTCACAAAAAGATACCACATCCAGATCAGAATCCGACATTAATAAAGTCCGAATTTACACGGACGGTTCCAAGACTAGGTCAGGAACTGGAGCCGGAGTTTTCTTGCAAGACCTAAATGTGAACATATCACTAGCGTTAGGCCAACCCAGTTCCATATTTCAATGCGAATGTGTGCCAATAACTTACGCCGCCACAATGGCCATATCTATCTAATCTATCTATAACTATCCGACAGCATGGCCGTCCTAAAGGCACTGAAGGGCAACACAATGACCTCTGGTATTATCCTCGAATGCCATCAAGCATTGGAGCAGCTTGCCACATTAAATTTGGTACTCCTCCAATGGATTAAAGGGCACAGTAACTCACACGGGGAACTGTGCCGCAGATGAGTTGGCAAGGAGGGGCTCGGCAACCCCAGCTACCGGCCCAACCATACTCCTGTCAATACTGTTTAACCAAACACGATTCTGGGCCAGGCAACGGACTCGTGAAGCACACAACCGGAGGTGGAAAAACTCACCCGGCTACAGACAGTCCAAACTGGTAATGACTCAAGTCACACCACGGCTTACCTGCAGATTGATTAGTCTTAGCAGACAGGAAATCCGAATAGTTGTCGGTACTATAACAGGACACCTAGCCCTGAACCGACACCTATTTATCATTAATGCGACGGACAGCCCTCAGTGCAGGGGATGTCTGGAAGCAGAGGAAACGGCCGCCCACTTAGTCCTGGAAGTGGCCGCACAACGGGCAAGTATCATTCCTGAGACAAGATCGCTCCTAGAAACCTGTGAACGCCCCAGGAGGCTTCTGCGCTTCTGCGAAAGAGCTTGGTTGGCTCACCTAGCTAACCTAAGTCCTGAGTCTAAATGCGGAAACCGAAGCCCACAACCAATTACACGTCACCGAACTGCCATTGATACAAATATCGTCGATTTTTTTGTAATAGTTTGGTAAACAGTACATTTAAAATTTGGAAGGAATTGAAATATTAAATTTTGCAGATATGGCAACATTGTTGACCATTGATGAGCCATTGTCACTACATCGACAGTCTATTGACACTGTGAATTTATGTTAATAGAAAACTGATATTTTGACCGACGTCAATGGCAGTCAATAGTGTCTCAATGGAATGACAGTGGCTTATATGTTAACATAAAATAGCAGAATTGAGGCCCTGGTGTACTGTAGCAGAGGCTAGCATGTCCTCAATTTTTAAAAGTGTTTAAGGTTTTATTAGGTGATAACTTTTGTGAGACATTTAGCTATATTGTTGTCATTCATTCCCAACGGTGGCAGATCCAGGCCTTGGTTCGATAGATCCTACAAGAAGGGCGTCCTGTCGAAAGCAGGAACGTTACCAAGCATGGGTTGATTCAGCGACGGTAGGTGATGTAAATACCAGCACGCTAAAAAAGCAATACACCCTTGCCTCCAGGTCCCTCAAAAGAGCCAGCCGGATTGGTGAGAGACCATTGAGACTTCTTTCTGGAACTCGTGCATTCTGGTCTCTTGCCAAGGCTGTCCAGAGGAATTTCTGTAGCCAATTCGTTTATTCCTTGCTGATGGGCGATAATACGTTGGCCTACGCTGCCAAAGAGAAAGCCGATCTTCTAGACGAACTCTTCGTAACCAACTCGAATTTGGATGACGGAGGAAACGTACCGCCGACCATACCGGGGTGCCAGAACTGTATGCCGGGAATCGGGTTCACCTAGAACTTAGTCCGTAAAGCACTCTTTTCCCTCGATATTCATAAGTCGAGTGGGACCGATGGAATCCCTCCTATCGTGCTAAAGACGTGTGCTCCAGAGTTGGCACCGGTTTTAACGCCCCTTTTATGCCTCTTCTACTCCATAGGCGTGGTCCCGAACTCCTGAAAGGTAGCGTTAGTGCACCCAATCCCTAAAAAAGGTGACCGCTCTGATCCGTCCAACTACAGGCCTATAGCCATAACTCCCTTGTTCTCTAAGATTATGGAATCCATAATCAACTGCCAGCCCCTCCAGTACTTACTTTAAGTAGCTACTTAATGACCGAAAATATGGTTTTCGCCGGGCTCGCTCAGCTGGTGATCGTCTTGTTTATCTATCACACCGGTGGGCACAGGCGATCGTGACCAAGGGAGGGGCTTTTGCGGTAAGCTTGGACATAGCGAAGGCCTACGATCGGGTCTGTTATAAGGCGCGTCTCTCAAAGCTACCTTCCTATGGGCTTACCGAGAAATTATGTAACTTGGTTACCGGGAGGTTTCAGAATCTAGTCCATTTTAACCCAAAAAAGACACAGGTTTGCGTGTTTACCGCAAAAAAGATACCGTTTGTCGTATCGCCTCGGTTCGAGAGCAACTCCCTAACTATGTACCTCAGCCAGTATCGGAATCCTGGGCATCGATATATCGAGCGAGGTCCAGTTTTAGGGTCACTTAGAGGGTAAGGTCAAATTGGCCTTAAAGAAGATCCGTGTGCTGAACAGATCGAGGCAGTATTTCTCTCCAGCCCACCACCTATAACTCTATAAGGTGCAAGTTCGGCTGCATATAGAATACTGTTCTCATCTCTATGCAGGGGCACCAAAGTACCAGCTTCTCCCTCTGTACCGTATCCAACGAAGAGCGACTCTAATCGTCGATTGCCAAAATATCTCGGACCGGATCGATCCTCCTCGACGTAGAGATGTAGCTTCATTCTGCATTCTCTATCGTATATATCATGGAGAGTGCTCCCAACTTTCCGCCATCGTTCCACACGGCAAAATTTTCAACCTCACGACTTCGATAATAGGCTTGTGTCCACTAATAACAAATTGCTTAGTTTATAGTTTCAAATTATAAGTGAAGAGACATAGATAAGAAAAAACCAGTCTATTTCTCATGAAAGTTAAAGATTATTAATATTTTTTTTAAATAAATTCGAACAAAATAGGCATTACGTCACGTAACAGCGAACACCAATCAGAAAGTGTTACGTCACGCCACGCAAAACATCATTGTTGTTGTTGACGTTTTCATACAATAGAGCAGGTTACTCCTTATTGTTTTTCGTTTTTAGCATGTAAACAGTTAAGTTTCGCAGACTGTGACGTCATTCAGGACGCCATGACACTATTCAGCGTTTTCAAGTGAAATTTAAATTGTTTTTTTTAAATTACAAAATATGTAATGTAAAAAATATAGGTTTTATGGGATAGAATAGTATTAAAGTACATAATTAACCAAGTTTTCAAATGGAGTCAACTAGCCTATTGGCACTGGACCACTGTGCTCTTTTCAAGACACTTTTCCCCTCCCACAACCAATCTGTGGAACACTGGATGGATACAACCTTCAAACCTTCAAGAAAAGAGTGTACTCCATCACAGCGCTTGTGACTCCTGCGTTGCAGGCATTCATGGGTGGCGGTGGGTGACCCATATGCTCATTTCCCACCTCTTCCATAAAAAAAAATCTTTACTCTAATTTTCTAAGTTTTAAACATATTTGCCATACACTTCTACTACAACATTTAAAGAATATATGAGTTATGCATCTGTATGCTTACATGAATATGTTTTTAATACAGGCAATGAAGCTTTGATAGAAATACCCTTAATTACACAATATAAAAACTTACTAATTAATTACAATGCATTAGAATAACTAGCGCCCATGATATTAATAAAATTAACTTACCTCCACCTGTAGTCATTCTGTGCAGTTCATTAAGTGTTGAAGGAGTGTGTCCATTGATCGGTAGATCACTGAGGCGGCCGAGCATTCCCAATCTCATCTCCAAATCTGTTGGGTAAGGCCGACGGGGATCTCCTGGCTGCCACGAAAGAGGTGCACTCACTGCATTGGATGCACTGATCCTGCAGACAGATTTAAGTAGCAGTCAGTATTTATTTTATAGAGGTGCTTTTCTTATCTATCTTAAAGTATATTTTAGTTTATGACAGACTAATGTAAAAACTGACCTGTGTGCAAACTTAATTAACTCTTCAGATGACACTGGTTTCTTTCTAGACTTAACAATTGAAGCAAGCTTCTGTCTTGCTTGATATAGAGAGGTTGCAAGGATTTGCTCTGCATCTTTGAGTTGTCTTTGTAAATGGAATATATCTTGATCCTGTACAGTGAAATCAATAAATATGGAGTTCATTACTTCAATAATTGAAATAATAGGCAGGTCTTACAAAATCTTACCTTATTTTCCACTTCAGCTTTTAAATCGTTCATCTTTTGCTGTATGTTAGCTTGTTCATCAGCCAACTCTAAAGTTTTCTTTAATTCTGAATCTTTAGAAAGTAAGAGATCTGTTAGTTGAGCATGGTCCGCAGCAGAAAGCTTCTGAGGTTTTGGCGCTATCGACACTTCAATCATTTCTCTGTAAACCACACGAACATATCAATAAAGAAAGTTAATGTTCCACTCTAAACAAGTCAAGTACACAACTCACTTTGCTATTAATTCAATATCGTCTATAAGCGCTAATAGGCGGTCCTTCGTACTTAAATGTGACGCCATTATTTTCTTAATGTAATGTCATTACTTTCACTGAACAATGTAAAATATAATTAAGTACCGAATCTCTACAAAATATCTTTAAATCTACTGTAAGATTCGAGGCACACTGCTGTAATTTATAAATACTGCAATTATTCAGATTCAGGGAGACAATTATGACAGTTGACACTTTACCAGAGTTGCCATACAAAGTTGGTAAAATCTTGCCAATTATCACTTGACACAAACGCTTATCGTTATATATTAATATTGATAAAATAGTCGGGATTGGTAGCGCTTGAAAATAGCGAGAAGTAACGGTATAAAAGACAAATTAATTTATTTTATTAAAAGTGAAACTATAAGTAGAAAATAGTGACTTTATAATTATTTGGAACCTGATTGGTCAAGAGGCAGATCTTGATGAGTCACTATTTTCTTGAATTAACTATAAGTTACTTAAGACGGTGGGAAAGATAAATTATATTTATTTTATTAGAAGTGAATCTAGATATAGAAAATAATGACTGTGTAATTATTTGGAATTTGGAACCTGATTGGTAAAAGGGCGGATCTTGTTCAGTTGACAACGATGAATCACTATTTTCTTGAATGAACTAAGATACTTAAACGTAACTTAGATCAACAAAAATGCTAACATCTTTTGAGGAGAAGGTACAGTACCCGGTCGCAATATTCTTCATGTCTTGTATTACCAATAATAAATAAAATACCTGTCCCTCTCAGCCCTGACACATTGTAAATAGGTAGGTTCTCGTGATGGCCTTAGGATTCTGTTTCGCCTGAATTTTTATTAAATTATTAATTTATACTACACACGTACGTACATATTTTGTTTATTGCTATTTTATATATTAATGAAATACACTGCGAGCATTGCGTTGACATTCGTTAGTTAATTTCGAAAAAAAAAGAATTGTTTATTCGAGAATGCTACGGTCACTTATTAAGCTACTTACCTGTTGCCTGGCAGTAGGTATATCACGCTCGCCTAGAAGTCCTGGCAATGGTTGTATGTGTCAAGTTCTTTTTTCTTCTTATTTTGTTTTAAAATGAATACAACAAATGTTAAACAATTTGACTTGAAGACATTCTGTCCAGCTTTTGAGAAAATAATATTAATAATAACTTTATAATTCTTACACACGGCCGTCTGATTCCAATCCAGAGCCTGTGCCGTAGTAACCAGACTGCTGAAAAACTTTACTTATATATTTTTAAATACACACATTTCAGAGATAAATTGACACAGAACAAATAATTGTGCTCATCACACAATTATTTGTCCTGGGTGGGAATCGAACCCATGACCTCTAGCTTAGCAGACAGGTCAACCAACAGGCCAGTTCAACTATAATTAAATACCACACGTGAAGACATCATATTCTGTCCAGGTTTTAGGAAAATATAATAAATAACACATGTGATCTACCTAAGTCTCTTTTTTTATTTCTGTTTTCTGTATCAAAGGGGTACATTGTGAGTTATTACCTACGATAGACGATGAATAGGTTGATGACGATGTTGGAAGAATTACGTAGTTTTCAGTACTTAATTCTTGTGGAGACGATTGCTGGTAAGGAGATGATCGGATATCACATAATGAGGTTTCGCAGCGTGATGAATCTGTGATGTTACATAGAATCTGGTTAGATATATTAGGTTTGATCTTTTTATTTGCGTTAGCTTCCATTGTAGTTTCAAAAACTAAGTTATCAATTTTATTCATGAGGATCAATCTGTCGTCTCCCTCTAATTTCATAAGTTTGTGTACCAATAGTCGGGCATACATTTCACATTCAGTTCTTTCTTTTTCAGCACTGCTTTTTGTTTCTTGAACTTCTCTTCTTTTCCTTTTTAATGGGTAGTCTGGGTCGTTCAGGTGTTCTGAACCATTAGCGCTATCTGCAGATTCTAACACTAATCGGTTCCGTTCGCTTTCAATATCCTGCAACATAATAAGTTCATAAAAATATAAACAAAGAAAGGAAGAACGCTTCAAGACTGTATTGCCTTTTCTTAGAGAATCCAGTTGCAACTTGTCCACGGATGATTTACTATTTTACAAGTGCAAGTTAGCTCAGTAAACTACTTATAGGATGACGAAAAATAATAGATGTAATAAACACTATACAAATAACAGTGTACCTATGGTTGTTAAACAAGACTTAAAAAAGTTTCGAAATGATCAGACAAATTTGTCAATTTGGTAAGTATCTAAATAAGGATCAACAAATTAAATTAATGTACTATAATCACATTATCTAATAAAAATTGGGTAACCATATAATCTAAGTTTTTCTATACGTAGGGCAATAGGTTGAGAAGGAAAAAAGAGCGAGTTCAAAATCAGTCTCACTCCAAATTCTTTCTAAATTTAAAAACCAATTAGAATTTGGATTAGAATTTATATTAGATAATTTGTTTTTAAATTTAGAAAGAATTTGGAGTGAGACTGATTAAATCTAAATGTAAATGTGAATGCAGACATGTAAATGTCTCATGGTAGCACTGAATATTTTGATAACAAGTAAACGTTCTTTTGGCATTTATAAAATAACCAATATAGATTTACATTTGCAGATATGGGAAGTCAAGGGCGAATTAGTGACGGTGGTATATTTAACAACTTATTTACTGTTATGGCAAAGAACCTGCAAAATAAAATTGATTTTACCCCGCCATGTCTACTGCCCAGGTCTTTTGCACTAAGTACGACTGGCATGATGCCCTATCCTGGAAACCTTGACTTAGGTTCACCAAAAAGGATAATTAACGAAGTTTTATCTATATTCCGGGTTGTAGTGGACAACACTTTGGGAATTATAACTTCAATATTTAAAATGTTCTGACGTTCTTGATTTAAAGTCATAACTTGCATTAATAATTACATGAACTGTCTATTGCTCCATAACTATCTAAGAAAGAGTAAACCCTCTTTAAATAGACATACACCATCAGGCTCGTTTGACGTACATATATTTTCATACCATTTCCATTATTTTCATATTTTCATATGAAAATAATGGCCCTCTGGTTACACTTGCATCTGTGTTCTGGCGGCGACAATAAAAATTAGGTAATATAATGTTCTGCTTTATCAAGTATCCGACGAAGATCACCGCTGTGTGACTAAGAAATCAGAGAGGAATTTAATTCATATTTTTAAGGAGCCAGCAGTACGTGGTACCCTACTTATGAAATTTAAATTAAGGTATATCCGCCTTAACCGTATACCTTAGTTACATTTAATCCTAAATCATTCAAATATTAAATGAAACATTAATAAAATACTAGTTTTATTCATTTAAATTAGATTTTTTAACTCACCGTTTCAGTATTCAAAGGATAATTACAGGCATATACTGGCATTAAAAACGATTCCATGAAGTGGTATGCGAACCAACAGGGCTGGTATATATCTTCAGTACCTTAAAAAGAAGGACATTAAAGTTCCTATTTATAACACCTACCTCACCTCACCAGCTTACTATGGCAACTAAAATCTGACAGTATCAAACTAATTGCCTGTTGGACTAGTGGTTAGTGACCCTGACTGCTAACTTCTAATCTAGAGGTCGTGGGTTCGATTGCCACTCAGGACAAATAATTATTGTTTATATTATTATATACATCGCTTATTCCGTGTCTGGGTGTCATCATCATCAACAGCCTTTAATAGTCCACTGCTGGACATAAGCCTCTCCTTAGAGAGGAGGTTTTGGCTACCCTATACCACGCTGGCCAGACGGGTTGGTATAGGGTTTGTGTCAAGTTTTCCTTCTCTCTGCTGTTCTTTTTCTTCTTCTTCTTCTGTGTCTGGGTGTAATTTATCTTAAATGTTTTTGGAAGTATGTTAATCATCAGAGCCTCAATTCTGCTATTTTATGTTCACGCCAAACCACTGTCATACCACTGACACGCTATTGAGATGCGAACGAGTGGCCATTTGCATCGGTAAAAATATCATCATTTACTCAAAAAAACGTATTATATTTTAAAATTATAATTAAATGATTTACTTATTTTTCCAAATATGGCAATCTTTTTGATATCACCACTGATGAGCCACTGCCATTCCATCGGCACTGTAAAAACACTGAGCTAGTGTGGACTACCGATATTTATACCGATGCTAATGGCCACTCGATGGCATCTCAATAGCGTGTCAGTGGTATGACAGTGGCTTGGCGTGAACATAAAATAGCAGAATTGAGTTCCTGTTTGCTTACCGTAACACAGGCTCTGCCTAGTTTGGGATCAGATGGCCGTGTGTGAGATGTGTGAAAATGTCATTATTATTAATTACCTACCTGCACCAGAACGAATGGAGTCTTGTTTCTTTTTAAAATGTTTACGAAAGGTTGTCATTAATATTTCTTTCTTCGTCTTCAGTTCTTTAACTGGCTTTTTTAAAGTGTTACTAAGTTGAGACCAAGCGTCTGCTACTTTTTTTTTGTCTTTGTGGCTTACGTCCTTCGGATTCCATATGCACGGTTCACCTTGATATGCCTCGAGAAAGGCCATAGTTTCGTCGTTTGACCAACTACTCATGGTCGATGCGGTCGTATACAGCGCAGCGTAAAAACACCCGTTCGGCGCGAGCTCATGAGCGACACTAAACTCGCGCCAACGCCCAACATGGAATTACACGCTTGCCGAGCCTTGGCAAACATCCACAAACTCCGAGCCTTTACAAACGCTTGGATGTCATTTACACGCTTGCGAGTGTGTAAAGGACCTAGTACACATAGGGTCATGTTGGAATTGGGTCATGTTGGACTTCAAAACAATCGTGGCGTAACTTGGCCTGTGGTATTTACACACTATTCTGTTGTTTGGTTCGTCACTGACCGCTGACGGTATAAATATAATAATCTAATATAAAAATGGCAGGTAAGTGGATATTTGTTTCAAATATTTAAAGTTACATCCATAAGGTCATATAGTTAACATAATAACAATATATCATAGGTTTAAATATTACTATCTTACTAATATTATGAAGGCGAAAGTTTGTATGGATTATTGTTATTCTTTCAATCAAAAACGGTTGAACGGATCTGGATGAAATCTGGCACAAAGATAGATTATAGTGAGGAATAGGCTACTTTTTATCCTGAAAAAATGTAGTGGAATGAGCAGGGCCCAACAACAACCGCGGGTAACAAAAGTAAAGACATCAAATGGCCGAAACCGTAATTACTTCGCCGTCCATCGCAAATGTTTAGCCAGGCAACAATGACCTATGCACCAATGTGTAAACACCTACGTAATGATGGCCTATAATTGCATTGCTATAAAGGAAAGATAAACATTTTTATTAGGCAAAGATAATTGGTTTTCTCTTCTCCAAAAGGATAATACTAATATTTTTGGGCCATCTAGTTTCAGACTAAGCATAGCTTATACTATGAAAGCTAGATTGACTGATAGAACACTTTTTTTTTTATAAATACATACAATTGCGCATTGCAGAGCATGGCCATCACTACCCATTGTGTACTGGAGCCTTAATGCAACCGGTTTTTGTGCACGCTTTCAGTGCGTGATCACCTAATGCTTTGCGGGGGGAATGTAGCACTGAGGGAGGGAAGGTTAGGGAAGCGACGAAGAGGGGTTCGCGACCACGCTTTGAACATGCGCACTACACGTGCTCGTGGGACTTTATTGCCGTGCAATACCAATAATTTAATACAATATTAATAAAATGATGATTGATTGATTTAAATAAATTATTGTAAAGTTTTAAAAATCTTCGAAACAATTATGTGTTTATTTAAAATGTCTTACAACGTTTGTATTATATTATCAATAGAATCAATGTACAGACATAGAACGGTAAATATACATTAGAAGATTTTTAGAAAATATAAATTTAAATGAGATGAAAGAAAAGAAGGATTCAGGTAAGAATAATTGTAAATAATTCATTAATATTGACATTAAAAGTCTCAAGCACACTAATAAAGGCAAGAATGTCACAGTCTAATTTAAGCAGTATACCAGGCTAATCTTGGAAGTGTATTTTAGAAAAGAAAAGATTGTTTCTTTTAAAAAGCATTCCAACTTATTAGATTCAACCACATTTATATAAAATTATATTGAAGTAGGCAATTTGTAAGGTTTGAAGATTTTATTTTAATTTGTAAAGTTGCAGACGTTGTATCTTATTTTGTTATTCTGTGGACAAGGTTTGATGTGAGGTGAAGGGGTCTCGGGGAGGGAGTGGGCTTGCGTGTGTTGTGTTGATTCAATCCGATGCTCGCTTCTTTGCGCGAAGCTACATACCAGTAAGAAATTTGCAGTAGAGCTGAACTTGGCTTCTTTGGCAATCTAATGGAAAATCGCTCCTTTGAGCTTGTGTCTGTAATCGTGTTAAACAAATCCAACATTCGCCACAAACGCGATAACTGTAGAAAAACACAAATACTACTGTTACTATTATGCTGTTTAAATGGCTCTTTAAAGGAAAATCCATGTTGAACGCCGATACCAAGAATAGGGTTCCGAAGAAATGTTCTAGAAGGAGGTCAGAATGCGATGGATGTAGTGAACATTCCACGTAAGTCGGAGTTCTTGTGTACCGTTTTAGTTTTTCCTGAACACTAGAGACAAACAAACTGCACTGTTTTTATTAATTGATATAAGTACTAGTGTGGTAGGCCAGAATGATAGTAGGTCATTCATAAATAAATAAGTACCTACTAGATTGGAGCTAAACGAATTTAAGTGTCGTGCTTGTTGGCTTATTAAGTCGCCCTACTTGGGTTTTTTATGGTATTCGGTATATATGAGGGCAATGGAGCAGCGGGTCACCTGATGGTAAGTGACCACCGCCGCCCATGGGCACCTGTAATGTAACTCAAGAGTCACAAGTGTATTGCTATTCATTGAGTTTTCCCCCAAAATCAGGGTTGTCAACATCCCCTGGGGGTGTCAACCTCCCCTGGTTTGGGTTTGAAATTACCTGAGTTATCTCACTCGGTGAAAGCAAAGAAAGAACTGTTTACAACCGTTTTCTGTGAGGCCGTGGTTTCCGATATATATTCCGATATTATTATAATTTTGAGGAATGTACACAAACTTAAAAGTTACATTTAAATAAGTTAATTACAATTATGTATAATATCAAAAAATGTAATATGAGTAGGTATACAATGATTTTTATCAATGTAGCCCATTGATATACAAAAATTTGTATATCAATGATGTAGCCTGGATAAATGAGCGTTCTTGAATTATTATTCAGCCGGCTTTGAGTAAATGTTGAACCATTGGTTTTAATAACTAGATATTTAAGTATATTGACAATAACAGTTAAGTTGTAGTAATAGAAGCATCGAGGTATAAAAAAAGTTACGTCCATTAATAGTAGTAATTGTTCAAAATTTTTGCGATTGATGTTTAACTGTTGTCATAATTATTTAGTCTATGGTACCATTTTATTTATTAAATTATTATTATTATGCATTACAGCCTGGGTTGGTATCGGTACATTGACTTATTGTAAAGATGAACTATTGTTAAGAAAATATCGTAGTAGTTAAAAGAGTAATATATGAAACGAATGTGAGTAGGTATGTTTTAGCACTCGTGAGTGATAATTTGTTAGGTAGGTAAGTTCTGTTAAGTTGCTTGTTGATAACATTTTTGGGCATTTTATTTTTCATTGCTGTTCAAGCCAGTGTCAGTGTGCGTTTAAGCGTTTGAATTATACAGATAAATAGAGCCCTATGTTGTATAAATCTGCCAAACTTCTTCAATATGTGCCCAGGATCGCTTTGCAGTTCTTCACGAATATAAGATTATGCTGGCAGAACGTTAAAGCAGCAAAAAAATCGCGTTGACTTAGCTGAATTTAAAGTAACCAGATTTATAGCTTATTATTTGAGCCAAATGTGCGTGCTAAATCTAAATTCGTGTGTCGTGGTGGCCAAATCTGGAAAACTACTAGGTGCACTATTATAATTTTCTGTATTACAAGTAGGCACTATTCGTGCCTCTTTATGAGCCACATTTCTTTCTATAATTTTGCAACATTATGAAGCAGTTTTTCAAAAGCGAAGTTAGCTTCAGGTTTCCAAACTAGGCAACCTATAAACCTTATGATAGCCTTGAACTGTATCTTGCACTTAAAAAAGTACAGTTTAAATAATTAAAGCCCTATAAAATTTAGTATCTTACTTTAAGGCGTTATTTAATTGGTTAGTTATTAGTTATGACGATGATGTTTCTTATTATGAACTACAAATATATGGGTAGTAATGAATAAGCGTTAACTAGCATAGTACCAATACGTTCGAGTAGGTAGGTATATCGAGTTCGAGCCCTATATCGAATATTGACATGGATAAACTCAGTTGGAAAAACCTTGTAATTTAAAATACAATTACAACAGTTTTAGAGATTAATAGAATAAATTAAGATATTACACCAAAACCTGTTGGTTTTTTTAATTTGGTTGCAACAAAACATCGAGTGTCATGTTCGAAATGTGGTTCAAGTAAATTAAAAAACAGCGAGTGATCAATGTTCTGTTACTAGTAAATGCTCTAGTCTTTACTCACCGTTAGGAAGGTGTGTTCCTATTCCAAACAACTAAAATGGCTTTTGCACACGGGGTATTAGGTATTAACGACGACGCGCAGATGACGGGCGCTAACATTCTTTAAACGAAATTCCTACGCAGAGAGTAAAACGTTGCATACGTTGAAAAGTTTTGTTGCGCTGTATACTGTAATTATTGTAACACAGAAATCTCTGCGTTTTTACCAGACTCCTCAACTGTACGAACGGTCGAAACAATGCTGTAAATGTTGGTTTTAATTATGATTAAAAATAAGGACAATGAGCGATTCTATTGGAACTACTCATTTACGAGATAAAGAAGATTAAGTGTAGACCTTGTAAATAGTCGGTCATATTCGTCATACCAAGAACTTCTTTTGATCCTAAAACCAGAGTTACGAAACGCGATACAGATGAGTTTTACACGCGCTTCATATGTACAGCGCTGTAAGGGTGTTTCTACACGATGCAAGTATCTTGCGCATGTTAAGGCACTTGCGCAGGTTATTTACTTTACCAACAGCAGTGCTATTCTCTAAGGAAACAGCCTTCTGTGCAGCACTGCCACAGCATCGAACTTCAGACTAAGACTTAGCTTGAAATTCGACGCTGTGACAGCGACACGGTGCGATCGGGCCGCTCGCGCGGATTACTTACGTAAGTACAGACAACTACTTGCACCGTGTACAAGCACCCTGGTACTGAACTGTGTCAAATCTGAAACGAGCAAGACGCATACATGTAACGCGCAGCATGCACATAATATCAACCAAACGTGCAAGTATCTCGTGCATGCTACTGACACGCAAGTAACCCGCGTAAAAGCACCCAATGCGTGGTGCATTTCTAAAACACCCGTCGTCGACGCTTTAAAAATACGCCGTGTGCAAAAGCTTTAACTGTTTAATTTACGTAATATAATATAAATATAATATAATAACTATTTAACTAATTAATTAGACAGTAACGGTCGTCTTGTACAATAAAAAAAATTATTTAGCATTTATTAATAAAATTTATATATATATATATTAATAATAAATATATTCAGTGTTTTTGGCAATTCATATAGGACAGACAAAACGAGCGAGCCTTGCACAGTTGTGGCATATGATGAGATTACAAATAAATTAGCCCACGCTATCCTAGCTTTCTGTTACATTTCCTCTGTTCTGTTCTGTTTCCTTCCTTTTTACAAAATTACTGACACAGATTGCAGGAAAGCGAGAGGTAAAAATTACTAATAATTAATTCGTTAACTTATATAATATATATACCTAATTATTATATTATGTATTAACAATTTAACATAAACGATAATAAGTCTGGTAAAAATATTCTGTTCTTAGAATTAACAAATAATAAACACTTATCATTAGAAACTGCAGTTGTACCTACCGATAGAACTCATAACTTGCCATACCAGGGATGTGGCGGGTATGAAATTCTGAATCTGGAAATAGTTCGAATATTTAACTAATAATAATAGGTTTTTTTAAACAATTGCACATCAGTAAATGGTTGAGGGGCTCGTCTATATAACTTGAGTCATTATAACCGATACACGCTTATGACGAAACAGCTCTATCGCTGTTCATTTAAGGTCAAAGGCTGGTTATCGGAGGTCTCGTTGTTCTCTTAATGTACATCTCTATAAAACTGTTTACTAACTCGTTTATTTGTCAGTTTAACCACAAACGTCTCAGTTGTCGCGTCTGAGAATGTTACCGTTGCTTATATTTCGTCATCGGTCAGTCCCTTAAAGGAAAATAAAATTGTTTTCACTTACAATTGTGTAGAAGTTTTTGGCCTTAAAATATTCCTGTGTTACAGGCTATTGGAAGAAATTATGAAGATGGTATTGTTCGGTGTAGTGCTCTGGGCAGGAGTTACTTTTGGAAGTCATGTAGCTCCATATCCGCTAAATCTTATTATTAAAACAGGTATATAACAATTTAAATAATTTAAAAATGTGTTAGTTATCGATATCCCGCTGTGTGCCGCTAAAGCTGTTTCCTTTATTACAGAATTAAGTCATCCACCACCTATGTATGATTTTCCGTTTCCAAGTGCTGAAATTTTGAAGAAGCTTCCGCCTGTGACTACCATGAACATGAATCGGTCACTTGAGATTAGCAACTTACAAGTATCTATGATGAAAAGATTTGAAATGAATTTAAAATCGGCTGGGATTTCACCCAGAACCGGTTCGGCTGCACATGGACTTGTTATCGAAGGCTCAGTTTCAGGCGATGCTATGCATTACGAGAAGTCGTCCATGATTATTATAAAGGCATCTCAAAATTTAGCCTACACTAAATGCAAGCGGTACGTACTAAATAAATTCTAAAATATTTCTATGAAAAAATATGTATATAAATAAATGTAATTTGCCTTTTTGTAGATTTGGATTACCTGACGATGAGTGCGCAAGCTTAATTAGCACTCTTAATTTAAAGAATACCGAGCTTGGACCAGAATGTGCTGCTCTGGAGCAGTTCACATGTCGTACAATTAAGATGTCTTCAAAGTACCGCACTTTTGATGGTTCTTGTAACAACCCCGTGCGTTCTTCTTGGGGTCAGGCTATGACCGGCTACAAACGTCTCCTACATCCGAAATACGCCGATGGCATTGAAGAGGTTGGTGTTATATAAAATATTTATTTAAACATAGATCAATTTATTATAGTTTTTTATTTATATATATATATCGATTATGTACAAAAGCAATATATTTCCTAATAGTATATTTAGTGCAAACAGTCTGACAATTTTTTTTTAAATCTAACATTATGGATTACTTTTTAGCCTCGCCGTGCTTTAAACCATAAGGCTTTACCTTCAGCTCGCGCTATCAGTACAAAACTCACAAGTAACCTGGATGAGATTAACCATGAGAAAACTATAGCCGTTGCCGTATGGAGTCAGTTCATCTACCACGATTTGGTTCATACTCCAGTTCGAAGGACAAGTAAGTGATAAGACTTTGAAACCCCTTATTATATTATTGTTTGCCCTTAAATATAAACTAGTGTGTTTGTGTAGCAATTCAGTGTATAATAGATTCACCTGCACTTCAACAGTTCACACCAACCAGCAGATTCGTTGCTGTGATAACGATGGATTCCCTCTGTCTCCGCGGTATATTCATCCCAGTTGCATGCCTATAACAGTTCCGCACGATGATCCCTTCTACAAAGACCAGTACGTTTCTTGTATGGAATACACAAGGTCTGTTACAACATACAGAGGAGACTGCACTTTTGGAGCTGCTGAACAGGTTACTTTTCTTCTTTTTTTCTCTTTAAATAAGAAACTGTTAACAAATAGCTAAATTGTGCAGGAAGGATGTGCTTTATATTTCCGATTTATAAATGTAAATTGAGAACCCATAGTTATTACATGTGAACCTTAAACTTTTAGGAAATAAAAGGTTTTCGTTTAGTGATAAGTTATGGCTGAATTTAAGATTTTATGGGTTCAATTTTCTTTATTTCTTGACACGTTTCTTCTGCCTTATTTACATATATTTCGTTGAAAGTATTGCGGCGATGATCATCAAAACCATTTGGTTAAGAGAAAGATATAGACAACATTTTTAAGGTAAATACCGTAAATAGCTGGTACACGGTTTTCTCAAAGTATGTGTCATTGCTTACTATTGTTAGCAATAAAAGTCTAGTAATGCGATTTACACAAGAAAGAAATACGATTTTATGCGTCGAAAGGTTGTTGTATTACAATGCAGCAGTTACTCATTAATCAGTGATCACGCATAACTCCGCAAAAGAAGTAAAAAGTAAAAACTTAATAAAAAAATTAATCAAATATTGTAGGTGCATCATTATTGAAAGCCTGATACAAAGACAGACAGAAAGGCGCCGCAAGGGACTTTGTTTTATAATATATTGTGATATAAGAGATATTCAATTACAACGTTTATTTTTGCACTTCTCACATTCTTTATCACTTACACTATGTAGCTAAGTACATAGATAGATGGGTAGGTAAGTAATGCATATAGGTAGCTACAGTTGGTTACAAAACGATGTCATCTCTACCTACAAAAAGATATTAGAACACATCAATATGTTTTTGATGGGTTCTAATTATCCGTAACGAAGTTTTTCTACCGTTGTAATTTTTATTTGTAAATTTAAAATACTTGAAGAGACTTAGTTAATTAAAGGTTTTTAAGTTGATTGCAGTGTGCTCTGTGCCACTCTTGTCGAATGGGCCTTGAGTCTCCCACTTCTAACTGTTTATTTGATTATACTTGTAACTATTTACTTTGCATCACAACTCGAAAACTCGTTTTTAATTTCTTAATATGTGATAGGCATGTCTGTGAACTACTTATAGAAATACGTACGTTACGTACGTTTCCACACGTTAAAAAAGGCATTTTACAATTATGGCAGTATAATAATAATTTAATTATGTATATCACTTCTTAGCACAATCAATTAGTAGGTTTAAGGCAAATATCAACTATGTTTATGATTGCATACGCCACACAGATAATATTTTTTTACTGAATGAATGGATCCGAAATCACTAATTTTACTAAGTTTTGTGGACGTCGAGACTCAAGACGTCCGGAGACTAGAGATATGGTGGTATTCTTCTATTTTAAATTGGGTAACTAGGACCACTTTATGTGTGTGTGTAATTTTATCCGATCAGCAGATAACACTCTCTTTTTCTTTACGAGTTGAAAAAGATTCAAGTGAATATTAAACTCAATGTGCCAACACGAGTAGTTCCCCTTCTTCGTTGAATTGTGAGTATTTATCTAATTATCATATATCTATGTATCTTAATTACTACTACTAAATCCATACTTCCATACTTATATTATAAATGTAAAAGTAAGTTTTTTTGTTTCTTTCTTTGTCACGCTTTCACGCCTAAACCACTAAACCAATTTTAAAAATTCTTTTACCAGTGAAAGCTACATTATCGGCAAGAAAAATATACTACTTTTTACCGCGATAACATATGTACGCGGGCGGAGAGGTAGGAAAAAGCTAGTATAGAATAATTATGATGCCTTTGATTAAACTATCTTTTTATAGTGATTAAATAATTCCAGTCGGTTTAGCCGTTTCAGAGTTAAACGATTATAAACAAACGAATATTTTCTCTTTTTAATATTAGTATAGATAATACAGCAAGTAACCAACTAGGCAGCTACTTTACTACTTGAATATTTACGACACGAGTATCTGAAACATCTTTGTCCAATTCATACTTTATTTCTTTCTGTCCGTGATGGAAACTAAAGCTGTACCTATGTCTGTTCGTTTGATTATGTCGTCGTAAACTCGTGCTAATGTATCCTATGTGTTCTCAATGTTTAGGTGTTCATTTACATTTTACAGCATTATTTACGTAACTCGTAACTCTTTACGTAACTATAAAACGTTGCATTAATTTCTAGAACTCTGCATTGTAAGAAAAGTTGACGTATTTATAATTTATGTATAACATAATGATAGATAGATTTGTGGAACTTTGACATGCCTGTTTACAAATAACTAGATAATTGAAAACGTGGCAAACAGTACAATGTTATGAATCAAAACAATTTATGAAAACATCATTGAAATATATCGGGCATCATGTCGTACTTATTACACGACCATGCAAGTAAAAACATGCTTTGATGGCGATAATTATCGAAATGCAATGGACAAAATTGTTACAACATATGCACATACATAACGGCCGACTATAATTAAGTCTTACTTAGGTATTGCTTACGCGGATGAACCGGGGAGTGTTAAAAATATATCGAGCAGGTCAGATCTGGTTTTTGAAGAAAAATGCGAGCCTTGTAACCACAACAATTGCAAAAGAATTCGTTTTATTCGTGAATTATCAGTCAGTCAGGCTGTAAATATTTTAGGAAGGTAGACGAGCGACGGTATTTTAGGTATGTGATGTGAGACGAGCTTTTTAAACAAAACTTTCAAGCTCCTATTCCGTTCACAGGAGCTTCGTTTTGTTCATTTTATTAAATAAGTATGTCCCATTTCTAAAGGAAAGTCTCTGTGAAAACCAAACCGTAACATCAGTAAAACCAAAATGTAAATTCTTTTCGCTTACTTATTTACAACTAACAAATATTCGTATATTGACTACACCTGCGTTAATAACCTTCAAGGAAATGTAATTTAATCTCTAAGTCTCCGTGAGAGTTTTAAACCTTCGGTATCAAAACATGTCTTCAACAGCTGGAATATATAGTGTTAACATCATTTTCATGTTCACTGCTTAGTACTTACAAAGATGTGAATTGAATTGTATGTAAACATACCGGGCACAATAACCTCGACCTTCGAGTACATACTTGTTAGGTATTTGAGTAAATATATTAACTATTTATAGACCGCGTATTACGTGAATTGACCTCTCATTATTAAACAAACTTGGTAATCTTAATATATAAAATAAAGTCGTCTTAGTAACACCATATTACGAATATAACTCAGAACAGCTTTTTTCATCTTTGATTTCTTATATTTCATACCGAAATAACTTAATAATACTATTAATATTAATAGCGCTCCGAATACCAAAATAACGGAAATAACTAATAAAACATTTTAAAGTTCATGACAAACCTTAAGTACATACATTTTCTGATATATTCTGTATACAACAAAACATGGAGCGGAGTTGTGACTAAAAGTGCAGGTCAAACTGCGTAGTCCGACATGCCACCGATAGGTGGTATCCGAGGGGATTTCCGCCTTGGTTTGCAATTTCTTCTCAATAGTTTGAACTCGATGTGTCGTTTTTAAAGTGACCAGTCAAGTATAAGGCAATTCCACCGTTTTTGTTAAAAGAAAAAGCAATTCGACCTTTTTTTACCTTAATGCATTTTGCGGATTAAAGTAATTTTTCTTTTATTATGACAAAGAGGTGATGCAGTCAGTTTTTGAAACATTATATTTTAAGACTTATATACGCCATATTTCCATTTGGCGAAGTCTGTCATGACTCATTTTCTCAAGAATATGTTGTGCTGTTATAAAATATGAACTAATTTATACACCAACAACATATTTTAGTAAGTATCAAATAATATAATAAATTGCCATATTGTGGTCCTTTCAAATACTTTTAAGACTACGCAAAAAGGGGTATAAATTACACAGTTATACATAATTATGCCATAATTTTCAGGGTAACGGTAAAGCCGTTACCCTGAAAATTCACAACATTCGAAACAAAAATTGATAAAATCCACCTGAGCGGAAAAATGAAAGGATAAAAAAGCCGTGTCGTGCCGTGGGACACCCGATAGGAACGAAGTTCATTATGCTATTTGACAAATATTTCATTTATAAAATTAAGTAAAAATATTAAAAAAATGCCTATAATTCTTAAAATATAACTTTTAAGAATTATAGGCATTTTTTGTGAGTTGTGTAAAGTGTTGGAAAAAAAGTGTTGTTGGGCCCGGGGTTCTCAGGGTTCGCCGACGGTTTACACCACCGGCGCGACCGATCGTCAGAGAACCCGGCCTTACACTTTTTTCGGTTTAGCCCTATCCGCTCAAAGCGTGTAACGCGCGTTAAGGAACTTCTTTGAAAATCCTCAAACAGGCACTGTGTCATATCGGGTCAGAATCTGGAGAGAGAGATCAGAGAAATTTACACTTCAAATAAACTTAATTAGTGAGTATTTAAGAGATTGTACACGTGTTTAAGTCGCTTCGCTTTTCACTAGATGAACCAAGCAACTCATTTTCTTGATGGGTCGAACATCTACGGAACCAACAGTCGAGATGCAGCGGCTCTGAGAGAAAAGACTGGCGGCCTGCTAAAAACTTCGAGGATAGAAGATGAAGAGCACATGCCCTTGGCAATCAACCCCATGGAGAAATGTCTTGTGGAGAACAATTCCGCTACTTGTTTCCATACTGGTAAGTTTAACATTTTTTATACCATAAAGTAGTAAATGCTTAATAAGTGTCTAAGTAAACTATGTCACTGATAATTAGGAAGCTCTTTGCTAGATAATTAGGGTTCTTATAGGTATGTTTGTGTTGTGGAATATAGTATAATATAGGTATTTATATTGTCGATCACTGTCAAGCTAAAATCAAAATGAAGTAACTTTGGAATCAGACCACCTAGGGCACTACTGATGTGAATTCACTCCTAATACAAGCATTTAGCTTTAAAAATACAGAACTACTACAAATGTGTGTTCCACGTTATTTTTATTTTTTTATTAATTAAAATGTTTAAATTGTAACTGGTTAACGATTACCTTAAATACAATTGAGGGTAATTAATAACCAGTCACAGTCAAAACACATAACGTCAAAGGCCCGAAACACACACTAAAGTATTCTGTGTGTTTCGGGCCTTTGACGTTATTTTTCGTTATTTACGTTTATTATACTTGAAATAATAAAAAAGATGAAAAGTTCAGCTAATGAGGGTGTATTGAGAATAATCAGGTCTAAAGTAAGAAATTGCATATTATGTACTGTGGATGCTTGTTTCCAACCACGACGATATATGATATAGTCAATAACACATTAATGTTTATTTTGATTAATGTCTTACCGATAAGATAATGCAACGCTGCTATTAATATGAATGTGGTGAAGCAATAGCATATTATTGGTTTCTCCTTCTTTCACTTGGCGTTATTTTTCCGTCTGGAAAGTTTATGGACTACAGAGTAATGAAGCCATTCTTGTCAGGACGTGCTTCAAGATATGTGTTATCTATATGTTAATATGTTGTCATCACTGTCAAGCCAAACTTAGCAAAGCTTGGCCTAAATAGTGCTTTGTATTAATCTATACAATTTAGAATATTATTACTGTAACTGCATTATTCGTATTTAAAACATAGGAAGGAGGAATAGAGTTATGTTGTAATATTCTTACAAAAGAAACGTATGATTTTAAATATTATTGTTTGGAACCTATCTTTTGATTACTAAACAATATTGTGAATTTAATACTCCATCGCAATTCGAACTATTCTTTCATGATAATATTGAAAACCTAGTTTTAAGATTCGCGTTGAAAAAAAGTCGTTCGTTCGTAAGTTAGGTCCTTTGTTTATGCTCTCAATATGTGGTCATGAAAGTAAATATCATGTTTCTGATGCGTATCGATAAAAGTAATAAAACTGTATGAAAATAGTAAACTAAGAGTTTCCATGCAAGTTTTCTGCCGAAGGTTTTAGAAAAAATATAAATAGGTACAACAGCTTTTGCTCACGACTTCGTCTGCGTGGTGATCATTACTTTTGATGGAGAATGAATTACATTCTTACATAATTGAATGTTTAGTAAAAATAGTTCCCTATACAAACTTGCACCTCTTTTATAGATTGATAGTTTTGAAAAATTAGTAATAAGGTTTTATTTACTTATATTAAAGAGTATTAACTGTGAGTTTGAAAACGCTACTACTAAAAATAACGAATTCATATAAACTGCCAACCCCATTTATGCACCCCTAGAGATGGATTTTTAAAAAAACCTTTTTGAGTGTACTTCTTTTTAGTTCTTAGTCTCACGTCACAGTTTTAGTACCTTTATTGTTAAAGTATTTAGGAGAAAACACTTATGAAATAAAAATCCCTCAAATATCGATATAAAAGTTATATGTAATGTAAGTAATAATTATCTGAGAATATTGTTTTTCTTAGTTTGACCTAATATATAATCTGCATAACTCGCGCTGTCCTCGTTTTTTGCTCTAATAACACTTATAGCTACTGCGATAAATATTGCGCGGTTCCTTATTTAATTGCACTATACTTTGCTCGCCCTCTAAGAAAAAATAAAGTAAAATTTTAAATGAAAGAAATTGAACATCGGTATCCAACTTTAAACTAGGTAACAATACCGTACGTTATTCTAATAAGATGTAAAAACAACCTCAACATAAAAAAAAAATTGTTTTATTCTCATAAATTGTTAGTGAAGTTCTAACAGTACATAACCCATTCCCTTCTGCTTTACAGGGGCGGAGAATGCCATTTTAGGCAAAGTGAAATTATGTGTCACTTCTTTACATGAAGTTGGCAATGTCTTTATAACTTTTTTTTAATAGAATGTTAAACTCTTTGTTTTGTCTCAACTTACAGTAACAAAACAACAAATCTCGTTGATCATTACTATTCATTACGTTGTGTCGCTTTTATAAAAAATGTGGGGGGCTATTGGTTAGCTATGGGCCATAGTTAACCAATAGCCCCCCGCATTTTTACTAGTCTACTAGACTAGTCAGATGGGCCATAGCCTATGGCCCATCTGACTAGTCGAAAAGAAGAGAGTGATCTTTATTAATTAAATGATTAATAAATGTTAAAACCTAAATACAAATAAGTTATCTACTTACCGTTAAAAATTCACTGGTGGTACGTAAAAATATAAGTGATAGAATTTTATAATTTGATATTAAGCAAAATATTTTTTTAAACACTGTGATTACGTTTTATAATTTAACAGTTAGATAAATGGTCGCCAGTTTCTACGTTTATAATATTTTTTCAAGTCATTAAAAAAAAAAAACAGTAAAAAGCTATCTACGGAAAGAGCTAGTTTAACTTTTTCTTTATCTATACAAACATAGTTTTGTTTTATAAGTAGATATTCGCTGTACTGACGCATACTCTCAGAATAAACCCGGAAACATTCTACACAACTGACCTATTATTTAAGTTGATAATTCTCTTATCTTAATTTGCCACCCGCTTACTTCAACCCGGGCCAAACCATTATCTATAACCTGTGTCTATCTAGAATGAAGTGTGCTCTTAAAGGCTTTTTCAAGAAACATATGTGTACAGTACATGTTTGTGTACAATTACTCTCTACATAAAAACTTACAACATAGCACTCCTTTATTTAAGAGTACATTAATGAAGACATCTGTGTCCACTTGTTCACAGTGTTTTTAATATTGAATTGCTCAGAGTATTCAAGAAAAAGTCATACTTTCTTTCTGTTTCTGTATTTTTATATATAAATAGAGCTGCCTAATATTAAGCGGTTTCATAACCCTTTGGAGGCTCGGCCTAATACCATTAAGCCTGGTTTTCACCGCGAGCGGAACGGACCCGTTAATGACTTCGTTTAATTCGCAATGGTAAACAGTAACTGCATACTTGTATTCCCACAAACAAATAGTCGGGTCCCACAAACAAACTGTTCGAGCAGAGAGAGTTGAAATGAATTCACTCAATTCTAGAGAGCGGAGCGGAGTAATAAGATAGTTCGTTTAATTCAAAATAATAAATTATGGTTGAAATGGGTCCGTTAAGGGCAAGGCAGGATAAAATTCTTCATTGGTGGTAATTTAAACCTATTTCATTTCAAAGGACTCCATCCCGTATAACCATTTGCCACTTATTCCTGTTTCGCGGTGAAACCTAGCTTTAGCATTACTCGTGCAAAGATTTTTATGAACTTTTAAAGAGCCCTGTGTCATGAGAGTCATGTAACTTCAAGACTGCGAAGTTTATTTCACGCCCTAAGAACTAGACAGATTCGTAGTTATTCTATTTTCTCATTATTCTGTGTTCCTTTGAACAGGCGACTCCCGTGCTAACTCTCATCCCTGGTTGACAAGCATGTACGCCGTGTGGGTACGAGAACATAACCGTATTGCCCGTAATCTAGCTGATCTGAACTCTGAATGGAATTCTGACAAACTGTATCATGAAACGCGAAGAATCGTTATCGCTGAAATGCAGCATATCACGTATAAGTTTTGGCTACCTGCATTGACTGGTACGTTTACTTTTTTATGTTTATTGCTATTGCATGCATGGATGCATAATTCGAGGTCTTCTTTCTGTTATAATAGCGCAATAAATATACTTTAGCTCTGTTTTTAGAATGAATGCTGCCGTATGAATATATTTTTAAATTCTATATAAGAACTTACTTATATTTGTGTAGTGGGATATTGTCTAGAACCTAAGAGAGTATAAAACTGTGTATTATAAAAAATAGAATTGATTAATACGTAATTTTGAAAGGTTACCAATACATTAGTTTAGTTCATGAGCATCGTTTGTGTATATTTATTTGCAGGTAAAACATTTGATGAATTGTATGACAGTTATGATGCTGGTTTCAATTTTGATGTAGACCCAACAATTACGAATTCCTTTGCGACGGCCGCTTTTCACTTTGTGAATAGCCTTCTCGATCAGGACATACAGTTTATGGCTGAAGACAATACTCTAATGTCATATCGTCTTCAAGAACATTATTACAAACCAGGATTTGTATCCCAGAAGAGAGGATTGAAAAAGATTTTGAGAGGCATGACCACTCAGAAAAGTCAGGAAATGGATTTGAATTACGAAGACGATGTAAGTTTATCATATTTTGTACCTCTACTGAATATAAAAATAAACAATAGCAAATCCAGAGTCACCACGAAGTGACTCCCCAGTGGTAAGAAAAGATACAATAGTGTTAGCTGAAAGCTAATTGTCGGTCTCAATTTGCAATTAGATGTACTATTTTTGTAAGTGAATGCTTTTTAGAATTACTTATAGAAATATTTTAATTATTTCATAGACATCATGGATGTTTCTTGGAGACCTGTATTTTCTTGGGCCTTGTCCAATTTAAAAAAAAAATTGCATGTAAGAGTACTTAGAGCCGTGCACCTTTAAAATCCTTATATATATTGAATGTGTCATTAGTTTCATTATAAGTACAAAATACCTACCTGCCAATACAGCTAATGTTCAAGGCTAGAGAATACTAATATAAATACACTCGATAACAAATCATAACAATTGCACCTCGTCCACTTTGTTTTTTTTCAATCAATATTTGCTTACAGCGAGTGTTTTGTGTTTGTGTACGTCTTATCACATAGTAATACCTAACGACGCAAAATTACATTTACAAAACGCAAAATGCTAAAATGAATGACATTAGGTAAACTTAAAAAAAAAAAAAATTAAAGTAAATAGACACTTTTATTAAAACTTAGTTTTGTGGGGTTAGATTGTGGATAAACACTAAATTTCGATTCTGACAGTAATAAATAAATCGTCTTTGGGGTATCCGAAAGTTGTCAGCATTGTTAATTAAATCACTGTTTTGGGCATCCTTTCTTAAAATATTTACTCAATATAGATTACTTTTTTTTTTGTTAACGGGGTGGATGATCCTCATGGATGCCCTTGCCCAGTGGGGGATGGCGACGGGGTCTGTCGGACTCTTACTGACTAAATACCACTTGCATTCTTCCGCCCACCCCCGACAGGCATTGACCCGTCTCACCCAAGACGGGTCTCGTCACCCGTCGCGACCGTCACCCTTCGTTCGCAGTCCTCTAGAAGCGCACACGGAACACTGTGCGCTGCCTCTCGGGCCTGTATGAATATAGATTACTTAGGCCACCTTAGTCTAACGATGAAATAAAATATCAAGTTGTTTTACGAGAAATTATTGCCATAGGTACATCTCATCATTAAAGTACATAATTTACTTGCTTTGATATACTACTACTATGTATTTTAATAAATCTTCAATCATATTATGAAGATTATGGTACATACAAAAACAAAGTACATATTGAAAGAAAGTAGGTAAATATTTAAACTTTGAAGTATTATTTAAATCTACCTTATGTATTTATATTATAAAACTAGCTTTTTTCACGTTTCTATTGCTACAGCCCTTCAAACCACATATATAAGAACGAAATAGCAAACAGACAGTCGTCATCATGTTCTTCATAAAAACTGTCAAAACAATCAAATAAAACGTGATCACTGATCACCTTTTAATTTTATACATATACACATTTCATTGGTAGAATAAGTTTAGACTTGTTTACGTTCAAATGTATTAAAAGCAATTGATTCTACTGTTTCAAACACAGCATCTCTAGAAGAGCAATTCATTTTTATTACTGAGTCAATTGGCGATTTGTGTGAGGGAACAATTAAGGTTATTATATAAAACCATCAATGGAAAATTTAGCATGTTTACTTAATCGATGACAAAACTACGACTATTATTTAATAGATTAATTTTATTGTCATCAGCTTCGAAACAAATGGTTGGGTGGACTTGACGTTCTGGCAGTGGACGTGCAACGTGGTCGCGACCATGGTCTGCCTGGCTACATCCAGTACAGGGCGCTCTGCGGTCTACCGGTTGCTACCAGTTTTCAGCATCTTATCGATATTATTCCGCAAGAGGTATTTATCTTTTAACCTCCAAAAGTACTGGATAAAAGTTAAAAAAGCCAATATATGCAATCTTATTATAGGTTTTTATAGATTAGATGTATTACAAGCGGCTCTTCTTCATACACTGCCTGACGGTGTTCAAAACTGTTAAAATAATATGTCGTTATGTGCAAAAGTACTCATCATAAAACCATAGAGAAACGCAGGCCACCAGCGGATACCGTATAGCTCTATGTCATCAAACAAAACAGTAAAAAAATATAAGCTTGTATGTGTGTAAAAACCAATTGAACTATTAGTTACCTTTTAGATTTTCACGATATGTTTTGGATTACAGACAGTGGACAAGCTATCGCAGCTCTACGAGCAGCCTGGTGATGTTGACTTAGTAATTGGACTTATGGCTGAGAAACCTGTTCCCGGTTCACTGTTGGGTCCAACAGCTACTTGTTTGATAAGTAAGAAGTACTACTATAATATTCTATTAGGTACTTACTTATGAAATAGTCGACTTTTTATCGAGATAATTTTGATAATATTGACATATTTTTATGATTTTGGAACAATTTTCTAAAACTTTATAGTATCGTAAAATATTTAAACTTCTTATTATATTGAAGTACAAGAAAATCCTTCTTAAAAAGAGTTAAACCGACTTCAAACAATACTAACAAAGAACACTAAAAACCTAGCAGCAATCGCCGTTGATTTGCAGTCATTTTTTGAAGAGTTCCGTTGTTTGTCTTCGAAACTTACGAGTATCATCAGATTTATATAAAATTTAAATAGGACTATTTCGGAATAAACCCCCTTCGAACAAAAAAGAATTTAAAAAATCCGTCTAAATATGACGTACTTATGCCCGAATATTCATAAAAAAACATATAAATTGATAACCTCCTCCTTTTTTAAGTCGGTTAAAAAAAGGTTTTTCGTTTACATACCAATCTTTATTTAAAGCTCGCAATATTTAAGTTTTTAATATTATTTATTTAAAGCATGACATAAAAAAAGATTTCGATGAACTGAGAACCTCCTCCTTTTTTGAAGTCGTTTAAAACATGAATAAAATCATTATAAAAGTACTATACACATTCTGCTACCTGCTAAATAAATACTGTTTAGCGTAAAGCTCTTTTTCTCACAGAGACTATTAAAAAAGAGTTGTCTTGATAGGAACGATCTACAGTTATTTTGAAGTCCCAAACTCAACTTAATACTCGTATCTCGCATCTGTCAACGCAATTTTCAGAACTTATGAGTTTAAATTATTGTAGTAGAATAAATTTGAAAAGGAATGTTACCTTTTTCTATAAATATAAGTGTATATAAATCCTTTAAAAAAAGTTAAACCGACTTCAAACAATACTGACAAAGAGCACTAAAAATTAAAAAATAATTACAAATCCAAGTAAAAAAAAACTATAATAGTACCCTCAATATAAACGGTAACATTATAATAGCAATAGCCCCTTCTAGTTTCTTTGAAGTCAGAAATATACCTTTTCTAAAAACAAAAGAAATTTCATATTTGGTCTACAAATGAAAGAGTTTTGAGGTAACAAACATGAAAATAATTATTACAACCTTTTTTTCGTCTAAATGTTTCGTAATCTCATTTATTACTTTCTTGTGCATATATCTCTGTAACAAACACCTAACAAATATCTGATTAGATTTTTGAAAGAGGTATTTTATAATTCCTAAAGGTCAAGAATTCTTCCAGCACCAGCTTTAGCAACATGACATAACTACTACAAAACGTAATAACCTAAAAAGCTAGAAAAATGAGCTAAAACACGTTGTCGGGGGCTGTAAAATGTGAGGGTTTTCCTTTATTTCTCTAGGATCTCAATGCGACCATCTCGGGATAATACCCTTTCGATTACAAAAATAATTTTGAAAATCAGTCCACAATTGACGGAGATATCGCGTAACAAACATACAAAAAAATACAGATGAATTAATAACCTTTTCTTTTGTGTTTTTGAAGTCGGTTAAAAATGAGATTGTACTTCTTTTACAGAGGAACAACTATGGCGTACAAAGAACGGTGACAGATACTTCTATACACATATGGATGAGGCAGGCCGATTCACCAAGAGACAGCTCGCTGAATTGAAGCGCGCTTCACTCGCTAGACTGCTCTGTGATAATGTTGGCTTCAGCAGCGTTCAAAGGGACATCTTCCTGCCCCCCTCGGAGGCGTGAGTATTAATAGATTTCAAGTTTCTGCTGAACACAGTTTCTGGTGACGTAGGGTATTAATATCTAGAAGATCTACCTTAATAGTAATTTTCTTTATACTTAGGAAGTTTAAACGCATTTTAGAGAGAAAGAAGTCTTGAGGTTGTAAACAAATTTGAGTTAGATAGTAGTAGTAGTAGATAAAACTTTATTCATACACAGTTGTTACAGTAGAAGTAACATACATACACGTGTCAGAAAGATAATGTAATATAATAATATTATCTGGTATGGTGGTAATATGGTGGTCTTGAACCACCATAGTATTTTTTAAGGTCGATGTATATTGTCTCTTCTCGATAGTGGTGAATCCTTCCTTTCACTCACGATCTTTGTTATAAAACACTTATGTGAGCAATGTCGCAAGTTATAGATTGGCCTGCTCTCATCATTCTCAATTATTACCGTTATATTCGTTTAATTTTCCAAACACAGTTTCAACGCTGAGTAAATCAATCACTGCCTCATCTTTACAGGAATCCAACGGTATCTTGCGATGAGATAAAGAAGGTAAATCTTGAAGCTTGGCAGGATCTAGCGCAGCAACCGGACATCTTGACTCGCACCAATAAATGGATCAAAAATAAAGTTGGCAGTAATTCCACTAAGTAGACTCGCATTCAGTATAATTACAAATCGTACATGAACTTTGAACTTTTAAATAGCATAAAAGTTATTGTATGAGCAGTATAATTTAGTCACGTACTTATTTCCTATATGATATTATATTGTTTATGACATTGGACCGACCATAGTTTTTCCTATATTTCTCAGTAAAGCAGTTAAAAAACCTTTCAATGTAACCATAACTCTTATTTCTTGAGCTTTCGTTTGTGTAAATGACAATATAATTAAAAGTTAATATATATTTTTTTACTTAATAAGTACGAATAAAAATCGTTTGTAGTTTATTTGTTAACTTGTATTAGGGTGTTGCTAAATTGAATGCTGATAGCAGAATCGTATTTCGGGCTGATTAATAAAATGTAACTATCAAACCTAGTACAGTGATTCAGTATTTAGATTGTTTGCGAACTGTGCTCACTTAGATATAAGTTTACATAACGTTCCTCGATTGCTTGATTGATAATTGTTGATCGAAGATTGATTAGCTAAAATTTAAATGAATTTTCAAACTATTCAAGTTTGTTCAGTTTAATTTTGCTGCTTTATAGTTTAACTCTAGTATTTACAGTAAGTTATTATAAAATTATACCGTGTCGTACAGTGGCTGTGATAAGTGGTTAAATCCACTAACAAAAAGAAAAGACTCGAAACTGCGAGCACTGATAAAATCGAAGGTAAATTGTGATTAAAAAGTATGCACTTTACTTATTGCATTCTTAAAAATATGTTTAGCAGTTTCTCCCATTGAAATATTTTTCCCTGCAAAAGAAGACCATTTAGGGCCTCAGGGCTGGTTTAACTAGGAGTCAATCATCAGAGTTCCAAATATTTCATAATCTAGAAAGATTGTTTTATACTTACCTATATTTTTTAAAGGTTTTATTCAGCGAACTTTCTCATTTTTATTTTTCGAGTTTTGAGTTTTTTTTTTATAACTTTTTTATACATTTAAGTAAGTTTGTAGGCACATACATACATAATTTGTTCAACATAGGGCAATGATAGATGTAATGGTGCCAACTATGCCAAAGATAAATGTAAAACCATTTAGAGATTTTCAATATTTTACGTACGTGTCTTATCGCTTATGGGATCGTCATGCAATTTTGCGTACACAGTGCTAGTGATAACGAGAAGAGCATAGCGTATCTGACCGTTTAAAAAAATGTTTTTAGGGACTGCAAAATTACTTTTATGTGAGCAAAAAGGCGGGCAATAACATTAGTGCTGGTGTTTTATATTGATTGGTTTACTTGAACTTTACACTATTACCCTGAATTTGGTACTTCTCTGAGTGCTAAACAAAACAATTGTACCAAAAAAAAAAGAGTTCATAATCGACACAATAATCGGTGAACATACATAAAAAAAAACAATGGAACATAGAACCTTCTTTTTGAAGTCGGTTATGAATATAATTCATCGTTGGTAGTTGTCCCTTAAACTGCCAGCGTGAATTAACGAAATGTCAAAGGCATGTAACACCCATTAATCGTGTTAATTTTCGAAGTAATTTCTGTGTATTTGGGTTGTTTTTAGGGTAATTAAAAGCACAAAATGATTTAGATAGGATTTAGTAAGTACCAGTGTTTTTTGATACATCAATAAATTTCTTTAAAAATGTATTTATTAAGTATTGAACATGAATTCTCTTTTGAATTAAGTAATATCGAAAAGAAGGTACCTACGTGAAGTATGTGCCTTTTGAAGAAAGTCATTATATTTTAGTCAATTTAAGAGTAATTTTGAAATTATATATACTTATACCTATTAGATTTAAGTTATTTTTATATGCAAATAAAAGATATTTACTAACTTTAAATAAAACATTGCGTTCGTTTCTTAATTGAAGTTTTCATTCTTAGTAGCTAAGAGATTTTTATTGACAAAAGGCGATAAAAAAATGTTTCAACTACCTATATCATTACCAATGATTTGTTTCTACTCGTTTCTGGGTATAGACTACTTTTCCCTTGTGTCAATGTTGTCTACGTTAGAGCCTTTAACTTAGAGATAATTAACATTTATCGTTAAAATCATTTTGGAAGTTAAAAAGAATTGGACGAAAACTGTTTAAATTATGAAGTCGGTGCAAACGTATTTAAGGTTCAAACCTTACAAATAAAAAAGAATAAGTGATGATCTGTTCTTAAAATTGCAAAAAAAACGTTATTAAGTAACGTTACCTACAAAATTCATCAGTGTTATTTTAAGATCATGAAATATATCATTTTTTTCTGTGAATATTTAGTTGCTTGGTATTTAAAATAATTTCTGCTTGCTATTTACATTGCAAATTGTCTAATAATTTGTGATGGATTCGTAGTCATATTATTCCTATGAAAGTTTAAAGCAATTATATCACATGAGTTATTGTGGTTAAAATATTCTCGGGAATTGCCTTAAAGATTTTGTTGTTTTAAAGATGTTATACAAAAAGGAAAATGTATATTATGTTCAGTAATCTGGAATAATCTTAATTCTAAGGAGTTTGAAAATACTTTATGTAATAAATACTTTCTAACGAGGCTATGATTGGTTCGTGACGATACTCTTAAGTAAATTGCTTCTTCTTGGATCCGGAGCCGGATCCTTTTCGTAGTCCAACACCTTGCAATCAATTTCTTTGAGTCCTCGTCCTCGAGAACTTGAGTACGCTTGGAACGCGAGTTTTCAAAAAAATGTTTTGTATTTATGAGTACCTGATTAAATGGTAGAAACTAAGTAAAAGTTTTCACTTTGTGGTAATTCACTAAAAGTTTCGTACCAAATTATTATTTATCAATGTATATAATTTTTTTAAGTTGGTTTGTGTACTCTTTAAAACATCAAAAAGTTCTGCACCGATTGAACTCAAATTTTGATCCCATATACAAACCGTTTCTAAGATCGTTCCTCTAAGATTTTACGCATCACTTTTGTTCTTCATTCCTCAACAATGCACTCACAACGTGCTACAGCGCAGCGTGTCAGGGTACAGCTACTAGAACATAAAACTGTTTAATTTAAAACCCGAACCTTCGTCTCGTATATTTAGGTAGAGGTATCCAAATCTGTGTTTTGGCAAACACGAAACTATCGCACTAAGTACTGTATTATAATCCAAACAAATTTTCCTTAAAATTAAACCTTGTGGCAACATTGTTGCACATCACTATTGATTAATTATGAAGTATCATGACAGTACAACACTATCGGCTGACAGTTTTGTGTTTATGACATTCATTCTCTTAGCTTAATGTATACGAATGGACACTGTAACGAATTGTAGATTTACATAAAGTAAAATATAAATCTTATTTCTGTGAGACACATACGGCAGTTTTATTGACAGCAACACGCAAGTAAACTGGTGGACTGGCCCTCGTGATCTAGAGCCTTATTATACTAAAGTGGCCAGTCCATCAGTTTATTAAACTAAAACCTCACATTGCGGAATCTTACCTGATAAATGAAGGTTATAATAGGTAATATTCATTTAGGGGTATGAAAAATAGATGTTGGCCGATTCTCAGACCTATCCGATGTGCACACAAAATTTCATAAAAATCGGTCCAGCCGTTTCGGAGGAGTTACAGGAGTATGGTAACTAACATTGTGGTATATAAGATTACATACAGACACAGAACCAATGATGTTGCTCATCACACGATGATTTGGCCTGGATGGGAATAGAACCTACGACTTCTGGCTAATCAGTCAGGGTCACTAACCACTAGACCAATAGGTCATCCAAATGCACCTTAAGTTCTATGTATAACATAAACTCCTAAACGAAAGAAAACAGAAAAACTGCAATTGAACCATTAACAACCAGTTTTCGAACCAAATCATTTATGCTTTTATTTAGTTTGTGTATTCAACTCAATACTCAATAATTTATTGCGTTTCATAATGTACATAAATGGTCTTAACTTATAAAAATACGGAACCATTATTCACCATGTCAGCAAAATACCCTGTCGGGCAATTTAGAACTGTTTATAATTATTTAGTCGTATCAAATTTGAGTGCCTAAACTAAACCGTAAGGAGCATTATTGTTCATTTACTTAAATTCTTTTGGTCAAAATATAGTTTTTTTATACAAATTTAGTCGTATCAAAAATTCAATCAGCACCATAACCAAGTTAAAATTATTTACTAACTGAAGAGAAGAAGACGTTTGAGCAAGGTATGTACGTTAAAAATAACGTATTATTTACACACTAGTATATATTAACTTTATATAAAAAGTACATATAGATAAGTACTCAATTCACGAATTATTATTACATTTCAAAAAAAATGGTTTTGTACAACTTTACTAGGAAAAGTATAAAAAAATAAGATACTCGTAGCACTTTAAAATATGTCTCTCCATTTAAGGACTTAAGTAGTATTTTTTAAGCAAAAACCTACAATTATATTTTTTATTATTTTATTTATTATTGTAATTTTTTTGTGAGTTTTTCTCATCGGCCGGCCCTTTAATTTTACCATCCCTCATTGTTGCCGCTTTCGACATTTGCCGAGCCTTTATCTTATATCGAGCCCTACCAGTGGTCTGTACGTCTCTTTAATTCTTCAAAACTTTTCTAAGTTAACACAAAACATGTTTTCTAAATAGGTTTGTGAATTAAAAGACCTGCTAGTCTGGGTTCATTAGAGATTCTTAATGAATTGACTTGTTCAAAGTAAAATCATCTGTTATTAACATGAAACTGACTGTGATAAAAGTTGAACTGGATCATTTTGTGCAGTTTCAAAATTAACACCTTACTTGGCAAATCAGAAATGTCAGGAGTTCCGTAAACATTACACGTTTTATCGATTCTTTACACCTAAAGTGTCATTATTTTGTCAGGCTCTTTGTGAGTGAAGATTTTCTCTCACAGCCATAACAGCAGGTAAATTGAGTATAAGAAAAAACTCTTAGTATTCTAGAGGAAATATTAATAATTCACAGATTTTGCCTTGACTTTGAGACGCCGATTTCCTTAAGTA